CCTAAAGATAGAATGCCTTAACCTTGGGGCAATGTTTGGTATCAAAATGCCGACCGCCATTCAGGCGAATGCGTAGCGCATGCCAATTGTTCAATTGTTGGAAAATTTCCTCTTCTATTCTTTGCTTTTTCCTGGCTGAAAACTTGCACGTTGTGCTCGGTCTCGTATTTCCTACACTTTTTACGCTATCTGCCAAGCCGTAAACCGAGTTTGTTGTGGCCTGCTTCCTGGGAATCCTGCTGCTGGGCTTTTGGGCCCGCTGCTGTCTGGCGAGGAATAGGTGTTTGGCAATCATGAAGTTGCGGCGACGGCAGCCAAGTTTCAATCTACGGGATTGTGTGTAAGGGAGCACCCACTCCACGGCCATTAGTCGCTTTGATCAAATATTTAAAGCTAATGAACAAGGTTGGGGGAAAAAAAAACGAGAAGGAAAGAAGAAATCGAAACTAAACTCGAATGTTGGCAAAAAGGCCAGGCAAAGAGTTCAATCAACCTGACAAATTTCAATCAAGCTGCGGCAAAAAAGTGCCACACAGCTCTCTCGTTGCTCGTCTCTCGTCTCGTGTGTTCCCAGGTAGCCATCCCCCATTCTATGCCAGAGTAGAGATCCCCAAGCCGAGTCACGCCACAGTACAATTAGGATGCCGTTGAAGTTTTGTCAATGAATGGAAAGCGTCTGCAACTTTTATTTAACTTGTGAGTAGAGAGGTTACAGGTCACACAGGCAGATACACACACGTAGGACCATGGGACTCCGGAGCTTGGTCAACACACAATTGCCCCACGTAGACGGGCAACGGAAGGAAAAGGAGAGGCTGACTTTGCACTCACGTGCACTCACACACACGCACGCACACATTTATGTGACTATTTACAGCAAAAACTAGTTATACACTATACTCGTGGGTTCAAAGGGTATTTTCAATTGGTGGATGCATTTGAAATGATTCAAAATATTCAATGAAATGGGAAATATAAGCAGCAAATAAGTGCCTCCTATTCACAAGTGCTACCTATCAGCCAGTGCTGCCAATCAGCAGCTATTTAAATGTCTGTTAACAATACTGCTGCCGTACAGTGTTGGTCAATGAATAAATGATTCAAAACTAAAAGGAAATGCTTTGGAAAATACTTTTCCAGGAGTTATTTTTATCTTTAAGAGATGATTGATGTTTAAAGTTCTTGAATTTTATTTAGAACATTCACCATTCCGCACTCTTTTCTTCGGCTACTAGTTGGCTTTACCTTTTTCAGTACTTGCCCTTGTCATGGGGCCCTAACTTAAATTGGCTCTGGCTTTTGGGTTAACCACAGCTGCTGTGGTCTAGGGCCGGACTCAGGCCTGCCACAACATTTCTCTCGGTGCACAGTCCAGTGCGATAAGAGCCAGAGCAACAACGGGTTCAGCCTCGTTCGGTTTGCAGCTTCGTTCATTCATCAGCTGTCAGTGGAGCGGCATATCACACCCCGTGCCTCACCGACTGACCCCGGACGATGCCTCTGTGCCTCTGTGTCTCTGGGCTCTGTGCTAATCAGTCGGTTCGATTCGATGTTTACACTTGCGATTGAGACTGAGAGAGAGTAGAGGCTGCCCACGCTGACTATCCCACGATGAGCAGATGCCTCTATCAGTTGGCCAGCCCAAGCCCTATTGAGAAGATGTTCGAGTGTTCGTTGATTCTGTATCTGTGTTTCGCGTGGGCGGCTGTGGAGGCTGCTGTGGATCCCCTCTTGCCACTTAACGCCAAGGACTTTCAGCTGGACTTTCTGCGTGGACTGGCCGACCAGGCCGAACAGCGGGCAGAGATGAGTTTAAATGATTTTCTGGCCCATCTGGAGGCGAATCCACGATACATCAACTACACGGCTGATCTGAGTGCTGCGAGAGCCATTACGAAGCTGCAACCGAAAGTGACGCTCATCAAACAGCTAATCGATGCCCATCATCATCCGGACACGAATCTGGAGCACACTTCTGTACTGAGGAATATTGTGTTTCTCAATCGCTTGAAATCCATGCTCAGGGCAGCCAGGGAGTCGAGTGCCCAGGAGATACGACAGCTGCGTCTTCATCGCCTGTGCCAGCAGTTCGATCATCCAGTCCCCGAGCGTAGGCATCGCCTGATCAATGATCAAACGGTGGGGGCGGCCCTGGAGCAGCTGAATCTTACGCGGCTTGAGGGAAACACCACCAGCATAGATCTCAATCTGTTTGGGGAGCAGCTCTACGAGAGGGTGAAGCTCTCGGGCGCCGAGATCATCGACAACTATCTGCTGATCCTCCGCGGACTCCTGCAGGACATCATCGAGGGCGAGCATGCGGATCTGGTCGAGAGCACCCCGAAGCTAGACAACATGCTGGAGCAGTTGGACGGAATGCTGGCCACGCAGGACTTTTTCGAGAAGCGTCAGAAGGTGTACGCCTATCTGGAGCGTCACCTGACCACCGACTACGAACAGCTAAGGGAGTCGGCCAGCACCGAGCACCATCTCACTGAGAAGCTCCTGGAGCAGCTGAAGGCCAAGGGGCTGGATCTGTTTGTGATCTTTCTGTTTAGCAATTTCGAATTCCTCGAGCAGGTGCACGAACAGTGGCTGCTGCTGCTGCCCCAGACGCCCAGTCTGCTGTACGACGACACATCGCGACAGTTGTACGATCTGCAGCAGCTGTACGAGATCTTCAAGCTGGACACCGAGAGCGAGGCCAAGTACGATGCCTACACGGCGGCTCTGCGACGGCTGCACGAGCGCACCGTGGAGCAGGGACAACGGAATCGTCATATCTTCGAGCTGCTGAACAACGCGGCACAGAATGTGGGCAGTGTTACCTTCAACATGATCAAGGCCAAGTGCCAGGAGTTGCTCTAGACCGTAGTGAGTGCCCTAGGATTAGTTAGGATTAGACCCAAAGATTGCAAGATTATCTCTTAATAAAGTTGTATTTTTGATGCAAAAACACATCGCTTGGGAAATCGTTGAGGCGAAAGCAGGGATGAGGCGGAAGGAGCAAAGCTCGTTGATGCCTTAAGATGTCTCTGGTGCTGCTGCTGCTGCTGTTGCTGCTGGAAGCCAGTGCCCTCTTCGTGCCACAACTTAATTATATTTTGCAATCCGTTGTTGCATCTGGCAGCTTTTAATATCCGTTGGGGAGTTGCATCTCTTCGCTTCTCGCATCTCGCATCTGTCGCATCGGATGTCGTTTAAATGGCCTCCCATCTTCTCGTGCATCCACTCCAGATTTCCTCCAATTTGGCTCTGAGGCTTCCTTTGCCGCATTATGCTGATGTTGCCGTTGTCCCGTTGTTGCTACTAGTGTTTGTTGTTGTTTATCTGATACGATGGTCTCCCATGGATTCCAAGTCCTGGGGGGGACTGCCAAACTAATGACTGCTGCTGCCACTGTCGTTGGCCAAAGCCAGCTAATTAATTGTCGTCGTTGCAGGTGATTAGAACTTAAATGAGTTGCCGTTGCATCACGGAACAGCAGCAAGAGCAGCAGCAACGGAAGCAGAGCATCCGGGATGGACAGGACAGGGCCAGGACGAGGACCAGGGCCTGGCCATCAAGCGAGAAACGAGCCAGCAAGGATAACGATCCCAAAACCAAAAACCCATAATGATGGTCCAAACTATGTTTAGCTGACAGCCATGGCTTTTACATGCCTCCAGCCCTCCAGAGCAGAGCTCTCGTTTGTCTGGCATCTGACATTTCATCCCGGGTATTGACTAAACAAAATGATTCTGATTTTTGGTTTCTGTTTTTGGATTTTCGGGGAAATGCAATATGTCTGTCAGAAGTGTCATAAGTCCTGGAAGAGTGAATGGGTTTTGTTGCACATGTCTGTGAAATGATTTTGGGTATTTCAAATATAAGATACGTGAGACTACAAAGGGCATTCGTAAATACAATTTCAGGATTAGGAAAAAGGTGTAGACATGCGATTGGAAGGTAAAACTATCGCTTGAATTGTCCCATAATTATTTTAATTACAAACAAACACTAAAAACAGAATTTAAGCAACTAAAAGCGAAGCTAATTCCTTTCTTAGTAATAGCCTGGATATAGAAACGAATCTTTAGAACGAAACTTGGCTAAAATGAAACTAATAATCGCCTAACCCTCCTTAAAGAATTGATCTGCTTAATCGGCACTTTAAACAGCGCTCAAGGGCTTACCCCCAACTAGCAGGCAGCACATAAAAATATATTGAGGGCAATACAAAGGCGAACCGTGTGCCTCCCATGGCCGTCGTGCCCCTGCTATGGCTTCCCTGTTGCACGCCCCCGCACAATTCCAATAGCGCCGGAGAGCTGCCAACCGTTTGCACAACATTTATCACCTTTAATGCACAAACACAACCCTCTAGTGGGGTGGAAGCGGATGGAGCCTGAGTGGCGCCCATCCTCGAAACAAAGGCAATATAACAGCAGAACAGGCCAACGTTTACAAAACGATACAAAAGCAAAAGCAGCAGCTGCAAAAGCAACAACAATGCAACGAAATGCAATTTCACACTAGGCTAAACCGAATGCCAAACCGGACCTTGGATGGGTATCTGTCTCTTGGATCCCCCGGCATCAAAAAGGAAAGGGCTTGAAAAAGGCGTTAGGCAGAGAATTTAATTATGATTTATGGCTTTGGCCGACCCAAAACATTTAATGTCTGAAACGAATTAAACCCGGCACTCCCGTTGCATTTAAAAATCAGATATGATGCCACTCAAAAGTCTTACACGTACTCGCACTATATTATATTGACAGTTTGTTCTGGCTGTCAAAACCTCGAAAAGAGGCTTGCCTTTATTGCTCTTAATTTTTAAGTATTCCCATAAATCTGTATACCCAAAATTAGAACTATAAACATCAACAGACACTCAATGGAAATTTGTCTGTGTGTTCTATTTATAGGCAGAGGGGGAGCAAACACTAATTGAGTGACTGCCTTAATTACTTTTACTAATCCCGAAAACACACATTTCCCCGTTCTGTTCTGTTTTCCAGTCATCAGCGAAGATCCCGAATTCACAGATGTCATTGAGAATATCACTGTACCCGCGGGGCGTAACGTCAAATTGGCCTGTTCGGTCAAGAATCTTGGCTCCTACAAGGTGAGTACTCCCGAGTACTCACGAGTACCTGTGTATTTATTGCCAAAATCATAATTAAACTCTGCTCCGACACTGCCACCAACATTTATTGGTTGTGGCATCCAAATATACAATTGATTGGCTTTTGGGATTAGACTTACAGTAAAATAAGAATGGAAAGAACTGGGGGAAAAATTAACAAATATATCAAATATAATGGATGATATATTATTAATACAAAAATATTGATATTAATATATTAGAAAAAAGAAATTTAAAAATATATAATATATAAGAAAAAATTTAAATAAAACCCAAAGAATGATCGAATTTATTCCTTGGGTTTTATTAATATTTTCTAAAACTTTTTATATCATATTCTTTTATGTTGTTAAAAAAATATTGTTCCTATTATATAAAATTAGAAAATACAAATATATTAAAAAAAATCATTCAGATAGCATTGAATATATTCTTTCGTTTTTATAGATTTTTCTACATCTTTTAATATTATATTCTTGGGATATTCTAGTTTATTGATATGCAATATTATTGATGAATTGAGTTAAGTAAATTTAAAAATATATTCTTTGGGTCCACATCTTTTCTTTATGTTTACATTTATATTTTATTAATAATATTAAGGTTAAGTTTTTAAAGTACACATTTATATAATATTTAGAAGTTTTAAATGCACTTTTTGCACACCTAATTTTGACTTTTGTTTCTCCGCCGTTCAGACGTATTCTATGGTCTTGTAAAAAGAGTTTTCCCTGCCTTTGGTATGAGTACTGTAGCTGGTACTGTAGTATATGCCTCTGCTGCACAAATGTGTACGCATTTCCACAAACTTTAGTCGCCTCGAGGGGCATTTGCAAGTGATGCAAGACAGAAGGACAGGAACAAACAAGTCCAAGGCTCTCGCTAGCAACAGGCGCCCTCTTGGTGACTCAGTCTCTGTCTCACTCACGCTTCCCCTTATTGTTACTCTCTCACTCACTCTCGCTCTTTGTCTTTCTTTGTCTCCACCAACAAGTTCTGTCATGTTTGCCTTTTGCTTGGGCTAAAACAAAGTTGGTCAACGGAGCAGAATGGGGCAGAAACAACTCGACGAATTTTCGTCTTGGTCTTGAATGAAGTAATTTGTGAGTGAGTCCCGGGACCGAAATTCAAGTTGGACCAAAAATTAATGGTTTTCCGGCATTCAAGGCACGACTGAAGCGAGCAGGGAGAGTGAGAAAGAGAGAGGAGTGAGAATTGGCAGACAGAGAGGAAGAGGAAAAGCGAGAAAGATGGATGGAGATGGACTGCTCGGTCACTGGCTCATCGGCACTGCTCAATATTCATTGTCTGGTGCATACTTTTAGGCTGCGCTTGATATGCATAGCAGACTGCCATCTCTTTCTATCTGTCCGTCTGCCTCTTTCCTACCTCTCTATTTCTGTGTGTGGCTGTGTGTGTGTGTGTGAGTGTCGGCAATTTAAATTTGCATCCAATTGAATTTCCATAATGTGCGTGCGACCGAAACGTGCATAAATTTCATTTTGACACGATGCTCCCTTGTCTCTCTCTCTCCCTCTCTCTACTTTCCATCTCTTTTTCCCCTCTTGCTGCACTCTCTATCTCTCTGCCTCTGTCAATGTTCTTTCTGGCTCCCTGGCCGCATGTTATGTGGTGCTCGTAATAATTTTTATGACCCTTAAGTTTGGCATGCCCCAAAACCCCTCAGATCCCAGCGAAGAGCTCTCCCGCTCCCCACTTTGAACCATTCATTCATTCATCTCTCTGTCTCTGTCCCCGTCTATATCTCTCTCGGCTCTCCTTCTCTACCATATTGGCCTCAGGTAAGCTCAAAAGTTAACCAGCAGCAAAAACAACAACGAGGGAGGGGGAAAACCCTCTCGTAGCTGCAATAAAACGTGACTTTGCATGCAAAATAGTTGCGTAGCCGGCGGTTAAGACCGACCTATTACTTCTCCTGCTCCTGCTCCTGCTCCTGCCCTTCGTGCTCAGGCTCATCTCCATCATCTGCGCTAACAGCCTGGTTACTTGGAATTGATTTTTATAGACCAGGTAGAGTGGGGCATGACTACTTGGCTAGAGCACTGGCCACACAGATGGGAGTGGATCTATCACGATTTCGAGACAGAGATTTAAACATTTCCATATTACAAATCAGCAGAAGCGGGAATTCGAAACATGTTTTCAATCTTCAAACAAGAATTTTCAACTATTAAACATTTAAACATTAGAATAGTATTTGAATAGTGATGTAACAATTAATCGCCTGTCAATGTTTTACTGAAATGTCTTGTAAATAATTTCCATAAAGCAGAAGTAATTAAGCATAAAAAATAAAAAATAAATTCTTTAAAAGTCAAATAAATAAATAAAAAAATAAATCAAATTCCATTAAAAATATCTTGTTAATAATTTCTGTGAGGGTTTTACAAAGAAAAAAATAAAAGTAGAAATAATTTAAAAAATACATAATTAAATTAAATTAATAATTAAATTCTAATACATGAGAATATTCCATCAGAAAATGTACCATATTTCTATTAGAAAACCATGCTGAAGCTCTCTTAAAATATGTCTCAAAAGTATAGTTTTTTAGGGTAGAAGAATCCATTAATAAACGGCGGAAAAATAGTAACTCCTAAGGGAAAATATAGTTCTCTTTAAAACACAAATTGATCCTTTAATTTTCCGAGTACCCCCTTCCCTCTCTTCTGTACTCCACCACTGGATAGAGCATACCCACTTCGTGCTCCTCTATTTAATTTCATTCTGTTTTTTGTGTTTTTTTCCTCCGTTTTCGTCTGTGCAAATATTTGAGCTGCGTGTAAATTAACTCGCGTAGTGCTGCGACGCTCCTTTTAACACGTTTACGCTTAAATTGTTAATATTAAGCGAGAGACGCTTTTCATTTGCCAAGAGCTCTACTCTCTACCCAGCCCCAGCCCGCAACACCATTTTCATGCCCGGCCAAGACCCCCAGAAGACTGGGGGCCTGTGTCTTTGTTTGTATTTCAATTTTCAACGCCTACACAAACAGTCGAGACGGAGACTCACACACAAACACACAAGAACACAGATGCACAGCACAAACACATATATACTATAGACTCTCACTCGGATACAGTTGGAAAAATGTTGCGGAGAGCATAGTTTCAGGGGCCGAGGCTATTAATACCCTTAAAGATACAGATCTGGATCTATTTTACAGAAATTCGATTTGCTTAAAATATGAAAAACCACATGAGTCTACTGAATGTTGTTTTTAGATTTGAATATTTCCAGAACCCCTCCTTTAACATATGTATTCGGATAGATATATTTTCTATGGCAAATATATGATTTTAATTCTTTTTTCTGATCAATATATCTTTCCAAGGTTTTGGGGAATTATCTTCAAAGACAAACAAGTTTCTCTCCCAAAGAGCTGTATTTGGGCAGATATTTCTTATGACAAATATACGATATAGTCTACCGGTGGTTGACAATCCCACTTCTATACTTCAAGAGGGGAAAAATAGCTACAAATTCTTTGCAAAATTTCCATCGTAAATCTTCAAAACTAAAGGCTGTAGATACCGAATCTATACCATCTACCATTTGTAGATACAAACCCCTCTTTAAAACCATAATACCCTTCGCTTCGATTGTCGTAGAATAACGTCAGGAACATGAGCATAAGTTTCGTTTGTTTATGTTGGTGTTTGTACTGCTTGTGCCCCTGCCCCCTGCCCCGCCCCGCCTCCGCCACCACCGTCGCCGCCCACCAAACAAAAGCATAAACATTTTCAGGCATAATAAAGTGTGTTTATTTTTGCTTCGACTAAAAGTTTTTTCTAGTTTGTTTTCCTTTTTAGTTTTTGTTTAAAATTTTATGACTTCATTTAGTGTTTTTGGTACGGACAGGAATAGGACACGACAGGACAGGACCTCTACTACTCGAAAGAAAGGAACGGCAGGAACTGCCTAGAGAGAGATACAGAAGAGTTGTGCCATTACGCAAATTGCAAATTGGCCATTCTGTCTGTCGTCTACTATCGACTGGGGCCATCAGCATATGGCCAGAGAGAGAGAGCCATGAAAATGAAGATAAATACGAGCACGAAATGGAAAAACTACTTGTACTAGTCGTAGATTTCGGGGGAAACAGACTACTCTTTTCTAAGGAGATGTGACACATTTAAGAAACGGCTAGACTTGCCACTTAAAAATGGCCAGCGGGGTGTGTTCATGTGATAAGGGTAGAAAATCAATCCCGAAACAACAGCCCCTAAAAAATGACACTTGATTTGGTTAAGAGTTAACTTGGACTACTGAAAGCCTTAGCATTCATTACGAATCCTCCTCCACTAAGGACCTCTACATCTTCTACAATTGAGCACAGCCTAGCACCATTTTGACCACCACTCTGTCGCTTTTCGTAGTGCATGTAACTCAAATTAGCCAAAAACTTTAAAATTGAGCCTCAAATGCTGTCTCCACACTAATGATAATCCAGCAGGAGCAGCAGCAGGAGCAGCAGCAGGAGCAGCAGCAGGACCTTTGCCATTTCAACAGCCATAAATGGACTTAAATATGCGTAAAATTTTAATAGCAGCAGCTGCTGGGTGCTACTGCTGTGTGCTGCTGCTGGGGAAAAGCCTATTAAAAAGTCACACCGTCAGAGGGGGGTGGAGGGGGGCCAGGGCTCAACTTTGCCTTGACTTTCGCTGACATTTTGCTCGCCCACAAAACCCAAAATATAATTTGGCCAAAGGCCACACACACACACACAGGGAGAGCAGAGCCACTTTTGTTGGCCATACATGGCGCCTAATTAATTTCATTCAAATGACCTCAAAAAATCCAAAAAATAGAACTAACCAGAATTTGTAATATAGAAAATGGCCACGCTAGAGGTTTTGGGGCTTTTCCACTTTAAGGCCTTAAAGCAAAAGTGGGAAAAGAGAGCTCAAATGCAGTCGGAAAATGCATTTTTATTGATTTTCAATGACTATACCTTGCCTCTTGGCTCTCGCCCTCTGATAGATGGAAATGCATTAATTTTCCATGCTATACTATACAGAAAGCTGACTTTTAATATGCCAAAGAGGAGACGAGACCCAACCCGTCTCCGTCCCCGTCCCCGAAATGTAAAATAAGCAGTCGCCTCATCTTTGGTGCCGGCTCCCAGGTCTGGTGCACGTTTTCATTGCAGACATTGAAAAATTAACCGATATCTGTCTTTGTTTGTCCTGACACTATCGAGGGGCTGGCTGTCTGACTGTCTGGCTGTCTGTCTGGCGAGAGGATTCTCCTTGATAGTGGGTATCCTTTTGGGTATTCTATTAGCTTTGTTTATCTCTCGCTCCACCGACTACACTACGCTGTCTCTCCGTTTTTGGAATTTATCATTGAAATGGCATCGACACAAAACACATCTTCTACCCTCCCTCCGGCTACTCCTCTGTCTGCCTCGCATTTAGCACGTCTTAGCCAATGGAACGGATGTTTAAATTTGCATAAATTTCAACCCCTCGAGCCTCCAAAAAGAAGGCAAAAGGAACAGCCAAAACTATTGCATAATTCGGGGGCAAGCGAAATATTTCACCAATGACGCACGCAAACCGCTCAAAGCTTCCGTTTTTTTTCCCGTGTCGCAACATCTGCCATGTCACATGTGGCAGAGAGGAAAAAGTTTCGACCAGGCAATGCCATCGTTAATCCTTCATAAGAATTGATGATGATGGGCCCCAAAGTTTTGGGCAATAAAAGCGCTGACACTTTGTCATCAGCTGAACTAATAAATGGGGCGTTTGATGAGACACACACGTATCCGTATCCGTATCCATATCCTGTATCCTGTATCCTGTAACCATAGGAGCCAGAGGCGCAACCATTCGCGTACAGTGGCACCTAAGGAGGTGGATAAATCAATCACAAATATGGAATAGATTACACTGGATCACACTTTCAAATCGATATACATTTTCGTTTTGGTTTTCTTTTGCAGGTGGCGTGGATGCACTTTGAGCAATCGGCCATTCTCACCGTACACAACCATGTGATAACGCGTAATCCGAGGATTAGTGTTACCCATGATAAGCATGACAAGCACCGCACCTGGTTCCTGCACATCAACAATGTCCAGGAGGAGGACAAGGGTCGCTACATGTGCCAGATCAATACGGTGACGGCCAAGACCCAATACGGCTTTGTCAAAGTTGTTGGTAAGTCCCGGCAGACGGCTGACATCGTGGTCCTTGAGGCCTTTGCATGTCCCTTGCATATTTCATTTCATTTGTCCAAAAACCTGCTACAAGGAATTACTTAGTCTCTGGCCAGTCCCTCTCCCCTAAATTTAAGCCCTTTCCAATAACAGTTCGACCCATAAATGTATGCTTTAAAAAATTCTCTGCTATCGCTGATGGAAAAACCCAGCCCAAATTCCAAAATGCAAATGCAGATCTCAGCATGTTTTCCCCGCGTGTCCCCTGGCTGTTGTTGTTTTTGTCCTTTCTGCCCCAACTGACAACTGCATTTGTGTGCGTGTGCGTGTGCGTGTGTGTGTGTATTGCTCCAGTGTTGACCATGGGTGGTGTTTCATGGTGTTCCATGACCAAAAGTAAACTCGTCTCCAGCACCCGCAGGACGCATTTTTGCCAGCTGCGAGAACAGAAATCATTTATGGAGAAAGACACAGGGATAGAGAGAGACTGACATTCAAATGGGGTTTTAGGCCCTCAGAGTACATAAATATTGAGCTTGCAGAGAAGACTAAGTCGAGGGCTATTAAAAGTGGGTTTTTCCTGGCTTTTAAGGCCTTCGAAAATCGTTTGGATTCCGTGGATCACAAATTCTCTTTAAAACTAGAAACGAGAAACAACTAAACCCTTTTGATCTTTTACTTAATTTTTCGGCCAATTATCGCTTTAAATTTCGGCAAAATCGATATCCCCTCCAATTTTTGGTGTTCCAATCGATGACTACCTCCATTTTCATCAAACAAAAACCTGCAAATTGCTTGCGGTTAGTTTTAGTCTCTCTCTCTCTCTATTTAGTTTAAAAAAAAGGGCTAAACAAAATGGTAATAGCCGCAACAAAATCCAAAATCAAATAGAGAGAAGCTCCCCGCCCAACAAACACACGACTCGTCCTCGCACTCGTCCTCGTACTCGTACAAATGTTAATTGCTCTTTGTTTGTCCATTTGCCAGTTCGGATGTTTTCAGTTTTCAATGTTAATTGTTGGCGTATGTACATTTTCCTGCTGGTTTTTTCGTGAGTGGAGTGGAGCGGCAAAGCGGTTGCTGGGGGAAATCGTGGCAATAAATCTAATAAAAACCAAAAAAAGAAAAAAAAAAAAAATAGCCAAAAACTTTTCAATGTGCTGCTGAGGGGAAATGCAAGAATTTTCGAACAAGATCCGCTTTTCAAGTTGACAAATCAACATCATCCGGTGGACAAACAGAACGACGGGAACGAACAGAACAGTTCAGATCGTAACTGCCCCAATGGCCATGGCTACTGCATGGGGCTTGGGGCATGGGGCAGACAGTGGGCGTGCCACCGGGTCCACTCGCATAAATCAGTTTTTGTGGCAAAACTTGAAAAATATGTGCACAAACAAATGGCAGCGTACGATGAAGTGAAAGGAGGAGAATGGTCCGGTCCGCCGCATTACTAGCCGTGCAACAGTTAGGACACACTGGCACCAGGAGGCAGAGGCAGAGGCGCAGTGGCAGAGACACAGACATAGACATAGACGCCGCATGGAAATGCAAGGACACATATGCTGCACGTAGCAGAATTTCTGTTTAGGCTGTGCTTTCGGCTAGGGAATACCACCAATGGATGTGGACTGAGGGATACCCTGGAGAAGATGAACACTCGACTCGCATCTTAGAAAGGAAGCAATGGTAGGGATGTGCTTTGATGATTTCTTGGGATATTTACAGATTTATATCCCAGACCCTTAATCAGAATAAACTATAATCTCCCAAACTGTATAAATCCTTTCTGAGTGCCTGCCTTCATACAGAAAAAAGTAGAGCCTTCGATTGGCCCTTGATAAATCACTCTGCCCAACCGATTTGTACATATTTTGTTGCTTTAACTTATAGATAAGTCGATGCCCATTGCCCACCAATAAACCAAATAGCAGCTTTCCAGATATACCGCCGCGGCGGTCTACTCCTCCCTTTGAGCATACCCCTTAACACTTTGCCAGGTATAAAAATGGCTCTGGCATATTTTAAAACATTTTTTCCTGCCTTTTCCGTATGCGTTTGCTCGTTTTGTTGGCTTTGACCGGAGACCAGAGACCAGAGAACCGACCTGTCATAGTGGTATTTTTTTCATATTTTTTTTTTGTAGTCCTGGCTTCCCTCCTGGCAAATTTGCCTTGCATTTTTCGCATGGTCCCCGGACTTTTGCCACATCAGCGTGTGGCCTGCCGGGGCGGCCTGTCTTTCTATACATTCATATATGTCTGCGTGTGTCTGCTGTTACACTGTCTGTGTGAGATAACTGTAATCTGTGTGGAGTGTGTGTGCGTGTGCGAAAATGGCAAAAATGGCGACAACGTTGCACCCAAAAAAAAATGTAGAAGAGAAAGAGCTGAAAAAATCGTGGAAACAGTTGCACCCGCCGCGCCGTTACTCTCTGGTCACGGCACATCAAATTGCAGGGACGCGTGGTGCGTGTGAGGCGTGTTATTTGAGCGTTTTACAACACTGGAGCGTGCTTAACGGCTTTTTAAAAAGTCCTATCAGCGGGCACACGGGGGGTCCAGAAAAGCCGAAAAAACGGGAGAGCCTCACATTTTTGTGGAGAAGAGGAGAGCACTTTGTGTTTTTGCCCTTTAGAGAGGTGTTAGGATTCTGCAGAGCTAGCATTTACTGCCCAATTTAAATTCTGGTGGAACTTGTACAATTTTCGAGCCAAAATCATTTCTGGCATGATATCAGTTCACTTAGGGGAAATTTGTACACTCAATCAACGCTCTCATAAAAAAATAAACGGTTCCTTAAACTAAATAATATAAATAAATAAAATATAAATATAATTATTATATAATTATAATTAAATGTTTAATATAAATTTTTATATTTATAATTAATTAATATTATAAATAAATTATATATAAAAATATAAAAAAATAATTTTTGTTACTCTTTTCCTTTATACACTATACAAAAATTGAAAATCAATTCTCTTTATTATAACCCAAATTATAAAAAGTATAATAATTACGATCCCTGATAGAAAAAATCATTATTTTAGGGTATCCAAACCTTCAGGCCTTTAAAACCAACATTCCTTTCTTGTTAAAAACATGTTGTACCATTTTTATGTTATCCTAGCAATTTGTGGAATAAATTATGTTGTCCATTAGTGGGTCGTTTTCGCAGCAGAATTTCCATTTCCATTGTCTAAACAAGAGTGATACTTGTGTTGCGACAGGGTCGCAGCGAAATCAAATGAATTTCATTTACATAACAAATCCAATTAAATGCAACAAAATTAAATGGTGCGCAATGGTGGATATCGTATAAAAATCTGCAGCAATACCTCCCTCCTCCTCGCCGCCTGCCATGCCGACAGTCAATTTAACAAAACACAAAATAGAGGGGGCCGGGGGAAAGGGATGCGATGCTGACCAAAAAATAGAACATAATTACATTGTGAAGCAGATATTTAATGAAATTAAAATGTTGCATTTGTCGTTTGCACAATTGTTGTCGGTGGAAACTGTTTGTTCCACAAATGAGTGAATAAATAAATATATTTTTTGGGGTACACTCGTACTCGTACTCGCACGCCGGTGCACGGCGTGGAGCGGCGCGGCGACATTTGTGAATTTAATTTGCTGACTCAAATGCGAAATGCGAAACGTGCAACGTGCAACGCGAAATGTGAAATGCGCCAAATGGAATAAAATGCACAGAACAGACACAGAAATTTGTGGCTCGAGTGTGCAAAAAACAAACATTAAACGCGTCTGAATTTATGAGCCATGCACACAAAATGCATTTAAATGTGACCAGCGCGCCTGCTGCAAGCTACACGGACAGGCTGCTGCTGGGTCCTCTGGCCCTCAGGGGCAGCAGCAGCATCAGCATCACAGCATCCCCAACAAACAAATGACCGCAGCAAATGCCAAGCCAAATGCAGCATGCAGCATGCAACATGCAACTGAGGCAAACACCAACGAATCCCTGAGTCTGGCCCTGACTCTGCCACCACGGGGTTGGTGCATAATTTCTCATTTCTGCTCACATAATGAGGCAATTTATTAAATTCAATTATTTTGTTGACATTGCCTAGTGCTGTACGTGCCACCAGGAGGCGTTACCCGGCAAGCGTACCACCATATAATGGCTTTTATATTCATGGCCAAGGGCGTTGTATAGTCGTACCTTAAAAGCCCTCTGAGGCAGTCTTTTTACAGAAAATGTAATATATCGGATAATTCCCTTAAAATAAAAGTTAAATAAAGTTCCCGTTTCAAATTCCTAATCATTAAAATGGGATAAACCCCTACAAAACCCGCCACTCACTGCCACAAAAGGTTTTGTACGCAGAAATCTAATCCTCATTTAAATAAAACTACAAAAATATTGTTAGATGCAGCATCTACCAGCAGCCAGGCAGTTGGTCCAACAACTTTGTTCAGCCAACAGATTTATGAGCCGCATGATAAACTTGCCTCACGGAGGCGACGCGACCTGCATGTGGCTCATGGGGCGAAATATGAAGAGTAATTGCCGCTGATTAGATGCGCTAGATGGGACCATGCCACGTCGTTATCCGCGCTTGAGCCCGAAAATAATGAAAATTAAGAGAAAACTTTGCCCGAGGACAAGGAAATTAAATAAAGACCAGAAATATGAAAACTGCAATTAAAGATTTGAAGGATTATAAGAAATCCTGGTGTCCTTCCAAATGTTGTATGTTTCGCTAATTAAACGCCCCATATACAAGGGGGTCGGGGGATGGGTAGAAGTTTCATTGGCAAACATTTTTGGGGCTAAAACTTTCTCGGTTGTCGCCAGCTGCTAAAAATATCAATAAAGAAACTTATATGTCAAAAAACTATGGAGCAGCAGCAGCAGCTGTTGGCTAACCCATGTCCTTTACTCTACTGTCCTGTCCAGTCCAGTCCTGTCCTGGGTCCTGCTCTGTGGTGTCCTTTCTGTCCGGCGATTAGCACATCAAGCGTTTATTAATAGCATGACAAAAAAAAGAGACGCTGCGGGAGAAACTTTTTCGGTCGTTATTGGGGGTATAAGAAGCGCAAAAGGTATAAAGACAAAAGTTTACAAAAGTTTCCGCTTTTAATTACAGTTTTTTTCTTAAGGTTTCTTTCCCCTTTGGGGGGAACAAAAGTTGAAGGATAATGGGGTTGCTCTGGGGGGAGGTTCCTGGATATACTCGTTTGTACATACATATACGATCATTAAGGGAAATTAAATATTGCAGAAAAACTTACCATTTACAAATATCAAAATGTCTGTAAGAAAAAAACAGGGTTTAAATGTGTATCATATTGATGTTCAATGGAAAAAATACATTATTAAATACATTACATTGTAGGTGTAGAAATAAGCCGTAAACACTAAGAGAGAAATAAAACACGCACATATTTAAATTCAATAAGGGAAATTATATAGAATTCACTTTGATTTTAACAAACAAAAATGTAATTGTAATACTTCCCATATTTGTAGGAAATATACATACAAATTTGTAATCATTATATGAAAATATTTAATTTAAAAATGAAATATATTTATTTTATATATGAAATAATTTTATTTTATATGTAATATATTTATATTATAAAAAAGATATATTTTAATCAGATTTTTCATATTTGTAAATTAATAAATGCAATAGTATATGAAATATTGTGAAATCAAATATTTGCATATTAGTGTCCGAATGTACATAGGTGAAAAAACTTTCTTTATACAATTTCCACACTCGAAAAAAATGTATTGGTATACACTTTAAAATCTAAGTTGAGGTATTTTTCTCTGGGTGAAGTAGTAAGCCCCTTCTCTTTGAGAACTTAGCCCCAATTCCTTAAGGATTTCCTCCAAAATTCCATTATCAAACATTCTATTATAATACACCACTCCTTCCACTCTCACCTGGCACCCGATATGGCAGGTATTCGCTGTTACGAGTACCACCAATAGATAATATAGACGGCCTGTCAGTTAGTCCCTGACGCGCCCCGTCACTGGCTTCATTGATTAGTGGTTTGGGCTGGCATTCAATTGGATTGGGCATTTCGGGATGGATCCCGTTTTGGGGCTGGCTGAATACGTTTATAGACAGCAGACAGAAGGCGTCAAAGCCAGACAGCAACGTAACTAAACGTTCTACGGCTACGTGACTCTCGGGCAGTGTCCAGGCTTTGACCCTCAGTGATGAAAAATCGCATGCGATAAGTTTTGATTACAGAAAATGTTCGGAATATAAAATGAGGCTCAAGGCAAATGAAAACTGCAGCAACTGTCAGCCAGCCAGAGATTGCGACAGACAACGGCAACGGATCCATATGCTCTGCGTCCTCTCTGAGGAGGACAATCCTTAAGACCGCCGCTGTCGCTCCTTTGTGATTCTGTGATTTGCATAGATTTTTCATTACAGATTTGAGAGGGCCTCAACAAGCCAAAAAAGGGTTTCCCCCGGCAATTGAAAGATTCCTTTGGCGGTGGCTGAGTGAATGGAGAGTGAAGAAGTGACCGAGTGAAAGGAGAGTGAAACTGATGACAATTTGATGAAGGTTGCCGCATCGATTTTTAAATTAACAAAACTTCTTTGCTCTTTCCCTAAAAAAAAAAAAAGAGTCTTTTCCCCCTCAAAAAAAAGAGGGTGGCAGTTTCAGCCGACCAGAACCTGGTCGCAAAGCTAATTGGCCTTAAAGTAAAGTTTCGCAGTGACTTTGAGTGGAAGCAAAACTTGGCTTTTGCAGAGTGTCAGTGCATCGGAGTCAACAATGCGTGAAATGTTTTATTTTATACGGATTTTCTCTATGAATTTTTGGGGTATTTCCGATTTTTTGGAGGGTTTAATAGGACTAAAATCACTAAAAATATAAGAAGAAAGTATACATTTTTTTAGATAGTAGTAAAATAAAACTCTACTAGAGCTACCGCCCAAAAATTATATTTATAATTTATTCCAAAGGAATAAAATGAAAAGCTCAAAGTATCTGTGAATTAATTCTGATTAAATTCGTTCGATAAATATTCACGAAAAACTACCTTTCCTGATTATTTCCAGTCTCTTTTTTAATTTTAAATATCCCCTAAAGTGTGTACAAAATTCTTCCACAACCAAAATTCGCATTCTGTTCTTTGGCTTTACTTTTTCTTGGCAAAGAAACTGAAAAAAGTTGCTTGTAAATCATGTGGTTTTCGCGCTGAGATTATATTTCTGTCTGACAAATATAATGAGACTTTCCAACCGCTTCCTTCCTCTGTCACACACAGTGCCGCCGAACATCGACGATGCCCTGACCTCCAGCGACGTCATCGTGCGAGAGGGCGATAATGTGACGCTCCGTTGCAAGGCGAAAGGCAGCCCCGAGCCGACCATCAAATGGAAGCGAGACGACGGCCACAAGATTGTCATAAATAAAACGCTCGAAGGTGAGTGCACCATCCCCCCATTTTCCCCATTTAAATACGTAATTTTTTGAATGTGTTTCAATCTGGCAATCTCTTCTGGCAGTGAACGACCTGGAGACGGACTCGCTTGAACTGGAGCGCATCTCGCGGCTGCATATGGGGGCCTATCTGTGCATTGCCTCGAACGGAGTGCCGCCCAGCGTCTCCAAGCGGATCAAAGTCAGTGTGGACTGTAAGTGAATGGGTTTTGGGACTCGTTTCGATGGTTATATCTTTCGGTTTTCCAGTTTCACCCATGGTCTGGATACCCCACCAACTGGTGGGCATTCCCATCAGCTTCAATGTCACTCTGGAGTGCTTTATCGAGGCGAATCCCACATCACTGAACTACTGGACACGCGAAAACGATCAAATGATCACGGAATCCCCAAAGTACAAGTAAGTTAAGAAATAATTAAGAATTAGTGCATCTAGATCATGCGTTTCTGGTGGGGTAAAGTCCCTCTCCAACCTAATATATATATCAAGAAAATATACAACACTGAGTCATGCTCTGTCCAGAATTCATAATAATTTGCAATCCGTAATTTCGATTAATCTGTTATCAGCGCCGGCTTGACCCCACCGCACATTCCTCCTGATAATTCCAAACGTAAATATGTGAACAGGGCCGATCACCAGCCTCAGTTCTCCGCCATCGATCATGTGGATTATTTGTCTCAAGCTTTTCGCGTTCGCGTTCGTCATCGCCATCAGCGCCGTTGGAGCACAGGAGGCGGACCATCCCAATAGCCGTCTGCTGGACAACATTCTCAGTTACGTGGATAGAGAAGTCAGTCCGTGCGATGACTTCTTCAGTCATGCGTGCGGAAAGTACGCGACGAAGCACCTGACAGATCCCTTCACGGAGATCACTCAAATGGTGGACCACAAGGTGAACCAGGAGCTCCTCACGCTGATGGGGGAGCTGGAGCAGCGCTCAAGGGAACCGGGTTTCAATAAAACAAGTGTGGAGGCAAAGGTGTGGAGCTTCTATCGCACCTGCCGCGACGCTTCGAACGATACGCGCAGTGCCAGGCACTACCTGGAACTCGTACCCCCAGACGAGGGCTTGACATGGCCGCAGTACACACCCGAGGGCAGGACCTGGCCTAGTGATCGCTTCAAATGGCTGGAGACTCTGGCCCGCCTGCATCGCTACGGCGAGGTGAATATCCTGATGAGCGCGGTCGTCCGGGCGACTCCAAATAACAGCAGCGAGTACAGGATGGACCTCAGCATGCCCAGCCTCGAGGCGAAGGAACAGCGTCTGAGGCCCTTCACGGAAACCATGCAAGTCCTTGCTGTCTTGGGTGTGGAGCCAGCGTGCACCTTTCTGCTGACAAAGGAAATGAAGACCTTGGAGACGGCTCTGCGAAATCTCATTGAGGAGGACGACGATGATACGGATGGCCAATATATGACAGTGTTGCAGTTGGAGCGACGGACTGGAGCCCACTGGCAGAAGTTCATCGAGATACTCCTGGGACATCCCATCAGTCCACAGTTTCAAGTGCATGTCGAGAACTTCGGATACTTCAAGGGGCTGGTGCAGCTGATGGACGCAAAGGATCGACGGGTGGTGGCCAGCTACATGATGACGCGCCTTATGCTCTACCTGTGGGACGAGACAATGGACAGCCAAGAGCCGATCGAGTGCGTCAAGGATGTGCGCCGCAACATGAATCTGGCCACGAGCCTGCTCTACAAGGAGCGGTTCCTGGGCTCCGCGGGCCTTCTGCAAAGGTACAGCGAGTCCGTTGTCCAAATGTTTAACCAACTTCGTCTGCAGTTCCTGCGGCTCGTGAAGAGGAATCGCCTCCGATTGGATCGATCGCAGCGGAGGATGATCACATGGAAAGTCCACAACTTTGTCCTGAATATCGGCAACATGCCGCCGAACAGTGAGCACCGGACATTCGTCAGCCAGCATTATGCGAGCCTGGGTCTATCCTCGGCAGATCTAGACTACGGTCGGAGCCATCTGCAGCTGCTGGAGTTCCGGACACGTCAATGGATGGAACAGCTGAACCACTCCCCGCACAGGGTCAATGACTACTTCTACATTACCGACTCGGAATCGGGCATGAGCTCCAGCCCCTACTACATGATCCGCCAGAATGTCATCATCATTCCCTACGGATTCCTCCAGGAGCCGGTGTTCCATCCGGATAGCCACGATGTGTTCAAGTTCAGTTTGCTGGGCTTCATCCTTGCCCACGAGCTGATGCACGCCTTCGATGGACACGGAGTATTCTACGATGGTGAGGGGAATTTCAGTGAGATGGGCCAAGAGATCGGGAACTCTGCGCGATTCGAGGCCGGTCTGGAGTGCATTAACCGCAACGAGACGCAGTACTTGAATGAGCGAGTGGCGGACATTGCCGGGATTCATCTCGCCTATGATGCGTACTTCGGGGCGATGTCCCAACAGAGCAGGAGCCAGCCTGATTTTACTACCATGCCCCTGAAGCGGATCTTCTTCCTCAATCTGGCGCAGTTTTTCTGTGGGGATGGTGCCTCGACAAACTTCGTGGACCACGACACGGATTCAGTGCGTCTGAAGCAGACCCTGACAAATTTTGTGGCCTTTAATGAAGCCTTCGATTGTCGGGAAGATCGCCAGGGACTGGGTTCCTCCTCGGAGAGATGCCAGCTCTGGTGAGGAGGTGCTTAAATAAAAAATTGCACTATTCTTAGGCCTCATTTATTTGTTTTTTGTTTGTAAATCTATTCTAAGCATGTTACCAGACCCTGCAACGCTGTTTGGCCTGCATTTTGGTCCGCTTCTCGCAGCCGAATTCCCGCGAGAACTCCTCGAAATTCGCCAGCGTTTGCATCACTCGCAGCTCGTCGATGGCATGCTCCAGGTGGGACTGCGCCTGGAGGCTGAGGGCCGGCATCTTGCCGCAGAAGAACTGCCCAAAGCTGATGAAGAAGAGCTGCCGCTGGCTGAACTGCGAGAGCAGGGGGTCGCGCGGTTCCCTGGGCTTTGCTTTCAGCCCGAAAAAGGTCTCGTAGACGAGACGCAAGGCCTCATAGTCGGCCAGCTTCTCGTTGAGGGACCTGGAGCCGGTGGCCAGCTGCTGTTGCATGCAGCGCAGACCCTGGATGAAACGCTGATTGCCGGCAATCTCCTCGCTGGGTCCCATGATGTTGCCCATGCCGTCGTAGTCAATGCCCGAGGCATCGTAGCCGTGGATCAGCTCATGGGCCAGAGCAAAGCCCAGCACCGCGTGCCTCTGCAGGGAGCTCGTGTTGCGATGCCACACGGGCAGCTGCAGCAGGCCGTAGGGCATCAGCACCAGGTTCCTTGGCTTCACGTACAACGGCGAGGAGCTGCTGGCCAGCCAGGACTCCGTGAGGTAGCTGACATTCCCCAGATCTGTGCCTGTGGCCGAGAGCAGCTCGTGATTCTTCTCCACGCGGAGGCGCAGCAGCTTCAGTTGATTCGCATAGAAGTTGTGGCCGTTCAGCTCCATCTTCTGGTAGTACTCCTCCACGTAGCCGGAGTCGTTCAACTGGACAAAGCCCAGCTGGAGGCGCATGGCGCGTAGCTTCTCCTGCAGGACGTGCACTATGGGGGGCGCCAGCTGCAGGCGATTCTCCTCCAGGATGAGGGCGAACCTCCGCTTGAGCTGCTGGAACAGAGAGCCCACATCCTGCTCGGCCTCTGGGTCGTACAGCCGCTGGCCAATCATCAAGCTGCTGGCCAAGGGCATGGCTCGCCTCATGCTGGCCACACACTCGCCGCGCGAGATCTCCGCGGGACCCTGCTGCTTGAGGAATGCCAGCCACTTCAACATGATGTAGTTGCAGATGGTATCCGGGGGCTGTCGTTCCACCAACTCGTGCAGGGCCCTCATGTAGGGTATGTTCTGGATGATCAGCGTGGAGCGTACGTCTGGTTCGGTGTCCACGCGGATCTCCCTCATGAGCAAGAGCCACTTGAGCTCCGGCAGATACTCCTCCAGATATCCCAACTGCATTTCCTTGGCCCCCTCGTCATCCTCCAGCTCCTGCAGGCGGTGCAGTCGACGCTCGAAGTCGTCCACCTGGCGGGCCAAGGCATTCGCCACGCGCTTCGTCTGGCCAATGTCCAGGAGCAGCTCGATCATGGCTCCCTCGCCCATGGGCAGCGTCTCCACCAGACTCGGTTTATCCAGGTAAATGGAGTAGACGCTCGAGTCGTCCCAGCGCGGCAGCACCTGCTCTTTGAGCAGCACTCCATTCAGGCCATGGAGTCGCAGTCTGCCGATGGTCGTGAGCCAGTGGAACTTCTCGCGTCGCCAGCTGCGACTCAGCAGCGGCCAGTGGGTGCCATTCCCCGGTGACAGGAGCTGCAGATACTTCTTGAGGTTGTAGGGCTTCAGGCGCTTGCAGGAGCGATAGTAGAGACGCAGCTTGTCGTAGATGGGCGGCTCTTCCTCCATGGTGCTCTCGTTGGAGCGTCGCAGTGCCATCTCCAGCTGGCGATTCAGATTGTGATCGAGCACGCTCAGAGTATCGCTGGGCAGGAGCTGTTCCTGCTCGCGTTCGCGGTCCTTTTCGCGCTCCCTGGGGTTGGAGGGCTGCTCCTGCTGCAGCTGCCAGTTGCCGCAGGCATACTGATAGAAGTTCTCGCACGGACGCGCCGTGGTGTCCATGTAGCTCTGCAGCTGGGTGGCCAGCAGCTGGCGGATGGTCTGCGGCGGACGGGTCTGGCGGCAGCTGGTGGGGGTGGTGCGCCAGGCCAACGAGAAGAGCAGCCAAACGATCAGAGTAAGCTTCAGCATGGTGGACAAATTGCAACTGGGCTGGAGATTGTAGTCTGTAGTCTCCCCAAGAGAATGCCAAGACCTGCTCTAAAGTCAGCCGCTGCGCCTGTCAGTCTTCATCGCAACAATGGCACAGTGGTTCCAGCAGATGTTCGACGATCCACTGAACCAATCACAGCATTTTCTGGCCATTCCGGCAGCTCTTTAACCCACTGTCCCTCGAGTGCCGGGTCGCATTCTGATTAGATTTAAGTGAAACAGACCCCGGGGACTTATCAGTTTCACCTTGGCCTTGATTCCTGATTGCCTCTCATTTGTGTGGTGTGCGGTGTGTGGTCTCTGAGGCTGGAGCTGAGGCTGTAATATCATTGCGAATCGGCAACGCAATTGCTGTCATTGAACTTGCCCAAAACACGACGCTTAACCCGCGTAACTTTCCCGCTTATGAATTTTGTTGTTGTTTGGTTTCATCTCTTGCAGAACCGAAACGATTCCGGGCCATCCATCCTACAAGGCGACCATGCGGCTGACGATCACCAATGTCCAGGGCAGCGATTACGGCAACTACAAGTGTGTCGCCAAAAATCCTCGTGGCGACATGGACGGCAACATAAAGCTGTACAGTAAGTATCGAGGGGACTGCGACTGGGACTGCGACTCCCTGTAATATGTGTTATTTATACTTTCTAATATTGGTGCCATGCCACACCATACCATCCCGAAGCGCAACATAAATTTCAAGAGGCGCCTCCTCCTGACCCATCCAGAAGTGAGGGAAATTCAAAACTGCATCAGTTTGTGGCTTTAATTATGGCGGTAGTGCTCGGTGCCCACTGCCAGAGACTGACCATCATTTATGTGTCTGCGTGGAAACATTTCTGTCAAGGGAGGCTGTTGTGGCAGGGCGTTGTCCCCCATTCAGGGATAATAAATGAAGAGAATTTCAACATTAAATCGAATGGGGGGACATTACGAGCTGTTCAGATTTGTAATTAGTAATTCTACTTTGGCAATGGCACAAAAGGCAAAGAAAATTAGAGATATATAATGGGAATGGCAGGTAGGATTTTTGGTTTAGTAATTATCATATTTGTATGATTTTTGGGGGTTTAGATTAGTCATTAGACGTATGTTAGTTTATTAGTTACGAGTGGTTTGTGGTCCTTAAAATCCCTTTAATATCTACATTCAAGACCTACCTTTCCAGCCCACCGATTTCTGATTTTCCCACAGATATTTGCGACCCCCATAACATATCCTTTATCAATTGATTGCCTTACAGTTCGTTAACACATTACAAGCGAGGGAGCAATGCTAAAAAGCAGAAACAGAAACGGAACCCATTTGGCAATTAAAGTCCCTTTTGGGCCAATAAAGTGTCAATAATCTGTCAATTTGCCAAATCACTCCCCAGTTACGGCAGTTACGATGTTTTTTTTTTTGGGTTTCTTTCTTTTTTTTTGGAAGGCCATTAAAGTCCCGACTTCAATTTCGTGCAGAAAAGTTCATAAAACAATATAAAATATCGCTGGTGCGTTGGCATCCATAAAAGGACAACTTAATTTATATATACAATACGTATACGGATATATATAGCGGGCTATGGATTCTTTTTTATGCCGCTGTCACAACAAAGGACTGGAGCCAAAGTACGAGTATAGTTCGGAAGTGGGTGTCGTTCTACCAATTAAAGGTAACAATGGGCCCCACAAACCGAGAGCCGAGCCACGAGTGGCAGGTCGACTGCTGATAATAATGGGGGCGGGAAAGTGCCAACAATGAGAACAATGAACCTGTGACAATTTTATTAAGTGGTTGGTCAGAAGCAGCAGAGAAGATCTCCCTGTGTGTCAGGAGTAGTTTTGGGGGCATCCCCGGCCACCCCGTGCCAGTGCCAAGGCGGAGGCCAAACGCCGGGCCCCATAAATTTCCCCAACAAATTGTCGTCAATAATGCCAAAGGAGGAGCACCGCCAGACCAGGGACCACCAGCCAACCGAGAAAAAAAAGAAAGGGAAGCAAAAGAAAAGAATAAGGAGCTCTCCCCCTCTCTCTCTCGCTGTCTCTCTCTCTGGAGGCAAAAGAAAGGCAAGAAATTGAAAACGAAAGGAGAGCCAGAGTCTCAATTTACGATGCCTGGAAAGTGAGGAAAATTCCGGCGGGAAAAAGGGAAAAGCGCAGTTAAGATATTGACTCGGAGAATGGGGCATAAGGGGGTCTGGCCAGTGTCTGGCCATTAAATGAAGTTGGAAGCGTTGTTTATGATTGCATCCGATTGAGAGAACAGGGCCACTCTTATTGTACTGTCTACTCATTGATTACACTCGAAAAAAGTGAGTGCCCCTCGTATTCAAATCGATTCGTTCGATTCGTTCCCATTGCAGTGTCGAGTCCACCCACCACACAGCCCCCGCCCACAACCACAACACTGCGGCGCACGACAACCACAACGATGGCAAACACTTTGGATGGCTACAACACCCCGCTGAACGGCATCGGAGGAGGGCCCACGAATTCGGTGATTGTGATTGACAAATGTAAGTACAGCGAATGCACTCATTGTTTAACCACCAATTGACTTCCATTCTCCGTGTTTTCACTTTTTATTTGCCGTTTTTAGTGGGCATCAAATATCAGTCGAATCTGAATGAGATTGGCAAGTCCGAGCAGAAGCTGACGGGCAACAATCCCAAGGGCTATGACTGGTCCAAGGGCAAGGGCAGCGCCAGTCGTCTCCATCGACCCCTTCTGATCTGCTGGCTCCTGGCACTCCTCTCCCTGCTGCTGGCCACGCACTCGCACGGTTAGAGCTCTATTGCGAAGAAAATATATCCCTATATTATATATAAAGTGCCATTAAAAAACAAAACAAGCCAACACAAAATGCAAAGAGCAACAAAACAGACAGAGGACACGCCACAGGATACACCACAGGACACACCAAGCCCGTAAAAGCAAAAAAAATTATGAAACACCAACAAAATATGAACTTAATTAAGCAAATTGCCAAACGCAAAGCCCATTCAAGTTTTTGGTTAGCATTGTTTGCCTTTTCCACCCGCTCCGAAGCTCCATAAATATTTGATTCGATTTTCGGTCCAGCCAACAAAAAAGATGAACACGTAGCCTAGCATTATTGAAACGACAACAAAAAATGTTTTGGGCAAACAAAAGGCAGTAAATTAATCAACAAAAAGGTGCGTTCCAACACTCCGACTAGGGTGTTACACTCCAAAAGGTACATTAATAGAGTGTTCAATAGAACGGAATGAAAATCTTATCGAGCAGCTTAAAGACGATAAAAAGACCAGATAATTCTCCTATCTCTTCGGTGTCTATAGCATAGCTTTCTCCTGGAAAAAATTAGTGATTTATCAAGGAACCAAACACTCTAAATCTTAACTAATTTCCAACCGTTTAAGAAATGTAAAAGCAGTTAAAGATGGACCCGATTTGATTCAATTTTAGGTATATTATTTGGGTATAATTTATTATTTCCTTTCGATAGATTTAAATCTAATTTTTGAGAATGAAGTAAATTAATAAAAAAAATTTAGGACAAACATTTTAGGCAGTAAATTAATGAACTTTTAATTATATTATTTGGGTATATTTTTCTCTTTCCTTTTGTCGTTTCTTTAATATTGATCAAAAACCAATTTATGAGAATTTTAAAGTAAATTATTATGAAAATGTGGACAACCATTTTCAGGCAGTAAATTAATTAATTTTCAGCCAATTCAAGCATGGAGTTCTTTTAATTTTAATTACTTATTATATTATTTTTTGTGGTTCTACCAATTTATCATCATTTTTAAAGTAAATAATTATAAAATTCAATAATAATATTGAGGAAGTAAATGTATCATTTTTTAACCTAGTCGGAGGTTATATGTACGATCTAAAAATACATCAAATCTTTAATCATATCTAACAGATTAAGTAACATTTAATAAGGACTAATTATAGCTTCGTTGCCAAACCTTAATTTGAGTGTAATTTTCTTTATTTTTTAAAACTATTTCCCTTTAAATTGGACATGGTTTTTGTGAGGGTATTTGCACAATGTTAATGAATAAACAATTCTTGTGGACAGATATTTTCTCGAAAAAAAGAAAAAAAAAGCCAAAACACACACAGACACAGTACGAAAGCAGGTTAGTTAGTTGAAACATAAATTAATTTAAATAAACAATTCCGAAAAAAAACATACATTTCAAATGTTGCCAAATTGTTTCAAAAAAGAAAAACCAAAAAGATAAACAAAAGCACACACGATAAACACACTGTATATAAAAAACAACACAAGGCAAATGCAATTGTAAATTATGTACTCGTTATAAGCTATACAAATGATGGCTCATTTGTAATAAATACAACATGAACATTAAGCAATTTATAATAATACAGGATACTCAGAGCCCAAAGAGAGAGCGATAGCGAGAGCGAGAGAGAGGGAAGCGCAATGGCGGCACTAATCAAAAACCAATTAAAGAATATACATAAAATCAGAATAGAGGATACTAGAGGATAAATGATAGAAGGATACTCCCCGGATAGAGCAGAGTTGGTTGGCGAATTCGTATATGAAATGAAGCATATTTATATATCCATTTAAGCCCGGACCTAAAGCCCAGATGCCAGCATACAGAAAGAAGTAAAACTATGTTCTAAACTATACATATACAGACATGAATATACATTTAAATACCATATATCATAGGCTTTAGTTTGTGTTTCGTAGCCATAAGAGTGATAATGTACATTTTATGATATTATGGTTCCCCAAGATCCTCACCCTAAGGAAGAGAAACTGCGAGAGAGAACACAAATAAAATATCTATTTGGGATTGCTTCATATAAACATGTTTTTTTCTTATCAAACTATTATTTGTCCTTACATTCAATAGCAAATATCAGAATGCACTGGTCAGAGCATCGCATAAATGCTAAGCATCGTTTTATTCCGGATTTATATTTGATTCCGTGTTTGCGCAGCACTTTGGGCACGTGAAATTGTTATTGAACCGGAGGCGGTTCCTTTTCCATTTCTCTTCATTGCAGCGGCAACTGGCACTGCCACTGCCCCTGCACAAACATTGTTGCCATGGCAGAAATCCTTTTCAGCTGCTTACGTGATGCCTGGCCTGGCCTGCCATTACCTCGTGTGCTACGTGGCGTATGTGCAATGCAAACAAATAGACAGCCTTGGATTGGACATCTCTTGAGGCAGCAAGAGGCTGATGCATCAGTTAAACATTTTTAAGCTGCCACAAAAGGCTTCTTTGGTTTTTAAAGGTAATCCAAGGGCTTTTGAATGATTGCTGAGCGTGGAGTTGACCTCTTTTCCTCAAATCAACTACCATTCTACCTTTGTGCTCTTATTTTCTCATATTCAGGAACAGCCAAGGCACAGTTACAGCCATCAGGAATGCGAGAATCATCAAATCTCTGGCGGAACTATCGTTCCCCTTCGGATATTGCTTTCATTTCTGTCAATTATCGTATGATATTTTTGAACATTTTATTTTGGATCAGAAATACGGCATTCCACGTCCAGAATACGAAATAAAGAACGTATAGATTCAAAAGAAATGGATTGAAATTTGAATAAAGAAGAACTTTGTAAAGTAATTATTTTGCTACATACTATAACCTTAACTACATGTCTCTAAGACAAAACTCATGACAAATTGTGCTCAAAATTTAACAAGTTTTTTCATCTGCTGCTTTTAATTTTGCACTAGCGGAAACTTTAAATTATGTTTTTATATATATTTTGTTTTGCCTCTAATCTAATTTGTATATTCTTGCACGGGCGGAATGAGGCTTCTACATGCATTTGACACGAATTCTACATATTTCTAGAGACAAAAAGTGGTGCATGCTTTTCGGCTGAATAATACAAATTGCTATCATTTATCGCATGCGACTTTCATGTTTGCCTTTGTAAGTTTGGAGATTTTTTAAGTTCTCGGGTGAATTTTAATAAATAAATTTTGAGGCATTTATCTAATGAATATAGCCAAAATTATTTCTACTGCACTAACTCTTTTTGTTTTAACTTTTTCTTTTAAAGTTTATTATATAAAAAAATACAATATTTGTAACATTAAATGTTGTTGCTTACAAAACTAATTTGTAGGCAAATGCTTAATCTAAAGACATATTACAATTGTAGAGGGCATTATGTCCCATATTTTCTCAGACCTCCACTGAGCGACGATCGAGCAGAGTGTCCAAGATCTTATCCATATGCTCGCTGCAGTTTGCCAAACAAACATCCGCATATTCGCTGAGGAAATACATGAAGCTCTCGAGCTGTTCCATGGAGCAGGTGCGGAAGCCGTTGTCGCGCCCAATGTTGTCGATGGCTCGGATAATGGCGCGCAGCTTCTGGACATATTCGGGGGTGTTGCGACAGTGCTCCAGCGAGTCATCGGCCAGATTCGAGGGCTTTGAATAGCTGCGAATCTTCTGTTCGACGTTCTTTAGCTTCGTTTGCTGCTGCTTGAGTACCTGCATCATCTGTGGCATGGACATGGCCGGTGTACGGACCACAGGGGCTGCCTTGGCGAACAGTTCGTCGAGTGGCACTGCCTCATAGTCCAGGGAGAACATATCCGGAGAGAAAGAGAGCCTTCCACTGCCACTATTGTTGCTGAAGCTGTCCGATTCGAATTCCGTTTGGTCCAGGTCGCTCGTTTTGATGGTGTTGTTGGCATTGCTGCCGACATTCGGCCAGGCGTACTTGCTGCGTCCCTCCAGTCCATTGCTGGCTCCCGTCTGCAGGCCCACGAGCATGCTGTAGCTGCTCTCGATGGAGTACTTTTGGGTGGTGGGCCAGAACTCGGGCACGCAGCTGAACTCCAGATGATCCACGCCAAAGCGCAGCTCCGCCTGGTCGTTCAGCTCCGCGTCCAAGAACTCAAACAGACGCGCCACCTTCTCGCCGGACATCAGTTTGCCGCTGAAGGGCACTGCCAGGTCACCGCTGGCGAACCAGTAATGGGAGCATCCCTTCACGCTGGGCGGACGCTCGGGCAGCGATTGTTTGGCCTCCAGGCTGCCGCCTCTCGTAAACTTGTGAGCATCGATGCCAAAGGCCATGTCCCTCGTCTCCCAGCTCTTCTGCGTGAAGATCTCGTATAGCAGACCCAAACGCTCGGGTGAATTGTGGAAGATCTCTAGGGAGACGGTAAAATCTCCAGCGGATATCCAGAACATCGACTGCGGCTTGGGTGCCGGCATCTCGTCCTGTGAGGAGTTCATCTCCATTGTCGGTGCATTCGCAAAGAACTCCCGCTCGCTGCAGGGCGTTCGAGGAGAGCTGGGCGTGGCATCCAGATCCAGCGGATGATCCTCTCGAATCACCTGCATGGCCAAGGAGCTGCGTCGCGGTCTGTTGTCTTGTGCCGGCGTCAAAATCGGACTGAAGAGCTGCTGTTGGGCCGGGCTCACGGCATGGCGTCCTTTTACGGGTGTGGAGAATCCCGAGGGCTTGCCACCCGACGTTCCCATGGAGGAACGTCTCAAGGGACTGCCACTATCGGTGGCATCGTTCGAGCATGTCTCAAAGCCCTGATCGATGAAGCTATCCCCCCTAATGGTCTGGTCCAGGGACTGTCTGGGCGTCTGTGCCGGCGACTGATCGCTGTCCGCATTCGGTGAAGGCGACGACATCACCGTCAGGGTGTAAGCGGACTTGATCTTTCGCGGGGAGTTCACCTGCCGCATCAGGGATTTGTCCAGCTCGATGTAGCTCTGTTCGGGCATGGCGATATTCGAGGGGATCTTCTTTTTGGTGGGCACTGCCATTGCTGGCTTGTAATCCGAATCCGAGTCCGTGGAGGTAATGGCATTGGCAGTGGCCTCCACAATGGAGTTTTCCTTTTTCCACGTCAGAGTGCGCCGCATTTTCTTCTTGCGGGGCGGACGCAGCGGCTTAGCAAAGTCAAAGTCGGTCGTTTGCATGTTTTCCTTTTGCATTTCGGGCTGGGATTCATCGCTGGTAATCTTTTGGGGGCGAGAATAATCGTAAGTGGATGCTCGAAGAAGGATTTTCTGGCTGTAAAGACTTACCTTTGGTAGTGTAGACAACCCGGATTCACTTTCCTCGGCCTCCGATTGCTTGCGGCTGGAAGAACTGCTCGACATGGCGCATGTGGACTGCGTTTGACTCAAACTTGGACGTGGCGCAGGCACAGGCGGTGCCTGGCGCTTCACCTTGCGTGGCGTCACTGTAGGCGTGTCTTTTGTGTCCACTTCCTTTTCCTCCGACTGGCTGGACTCCTTTACTTTATTCTCCATTTCCAGCTTGGCTATGGCCTCCTCGAGGAGCCTCTCCACTGCCGATCTCTGGCTCACTTCGCCCATGGATGCGGCCGTCTGCTCTTGTGGCGCCTGCTCTGAGATCTCTCCATCTTCCAGGGCAATCTCAATGGTCTGCTCGCTGTTGGACACGCAGGTGATGTCGAATTGTACACCATTCTCGGCACTTAGCCAACTGTAGAACAGGCTCTCCAGCGGCTCGTTCTGAAAAAACATATGGTGGTCGGTGCCGGTTCGTTCCTGACGGGTTCGTCGGATCTTCTTGGGCGGGGCAAAGGCCTCGGTGGGTAGAACACTGCGAATGGAGGCGAGATTCCGCTTCTGGGATCCCTCTCTCCCGTGACTCTCGCTCTGGCGCTCTAGGCAACGTCTTGGCCGGGGCTGTGGGGCCCGTCGCTCGGGGCTGGGCTTAAGGATCACCGTCAACGTGCTCACGTGGAAATGGGATGTGCAAGTCGCTGTCTTTTCCTCCACAGCTGGACTACTTTCCTTCGGAGGACTTGAGGTCGTGGATAGTCCTGCCGGTCGCGGCGGTGAGGCCGGCCCTAGAATGCACTTGGCCTCGAGTTCTTGAGCCAACAGCTTGACACTCGCCTGATGTTCGGCTACCACTTCGCCGCGGGCCATCTGCTTCTTGACTTTTGCCTTGAGATCCGCCGCATGGGCCGTGAATTTCGGATGCTTTGCTGCCATATCGCCAACGAACTGGTTGAACAGCAACGCCTTATCCCGGACACTCAGCTCACGGAATACCTCCTCGGCCACCAGGCAGGGGCCCTGTCGTGACTCCAATCTCGACTGCGGCTGGGGCTTGGCCTCGGGCGAGCATTCGTTGTGCAGCTGAACATATTGCGGCTCTTCGCCGCGTCGCATCACCTGGCTAATCTTCGAGTTGAAAAGCTGTGCCATTTCCTTCACTTTCATGGGCAATTTCCCAGCTGACTTGCTGGCTCCTGCCCTGCCGGATGACTGCGGCGTCTCCGGCTGTGGCTGTTCGTACTTCTGCTTGAGTTCGCTAATCTTTACCTTGCCGGCATCCACCTTGGGCTTGGGCGGACTGACGACCATCTCTGGCTGCTGTCCCGCCAGCTTGGCTATGACACTGGCCACCTTCCCGGAGCAGGCCACCAGTTTGGCTGCCTCTGCGGACTTGGTGGGTGTGACGGGCACCTCTTCGTCAAAGTACTTCATGAGATTCTCAATGCTGGACAGATCCAAGTCCGTGACCTGGACCCTGGACTTGCTGGGCGTGGCGTACGAGTTCTGATGCTCCAGGGCGCTCAGGAAACGATCATCATCCATTGAGGAGATCTCAAAGAGCTCCTCTCGTGTCATGGTGGCTCTGAGCAGGCCACAGGCATCACTGCTGTGGCGACTAGAGCGACGCCTTTCCTCTATCTCTGCATTCAATTGGAGGAGTTCGCTCAGATCCTCGCTGTTCATGGCCGCCGTGTCCATCATCAGCTCGTGGTGCGGCTTCTGGTTGGGTGTGGAATTGCTTAGAACCATCTTGGATATCGTTCTTCACTTCGTGCGTTGTTCACGTTAGACGTTCCAGTTTGTAACTGTGATGCTTGTGTGATTGTACCGCGGTTTTATAGTAATGGCAGGTAGCTTTGGGGTTGCAAAATGTTTATGATAGTCCGCTAATCCGCACTGATCATCAATCAGGTAAATTCCTCAAGCAGCTGCCTCTGAAATGGGGTTTTTCTTTTAATTGGTTTCGCGAACCTTCCAGGAAAGATTGTCGCCTCCAAGTGACCTGCGAATATGCTCAACAGGTAATCAATTTTAATAAGTTTATGATCGTCTTCATAGGGAAAACACTGAACACTCTACAACAAGATTATGGTACAAGAAAGGTAATTTTGACTTGGAAAAATCTAGATTTCTACACGAGAAACAGAGAGGATAGTAAAGAGATCAAAAAGAAGACTTGGAAGAATGTATTTCTACAAGAGAAGGGAGGATCCGAGAAAGAATTTCCAGAAAACTCTGAAAGTAAAGTTAAACCAGAAAAGTGCCACAGAAACCTCGAAAATGTTCTTAAATTTCAACAGCAATTAAAATCTCATGAAGGAGCAACTCATGAACTGCTCTCCCAGTCTCTGGGAAATTCTTTGGCCAGAAAATACGAGTACTAACAAGACCCCAGCGGATTGCAGTCGGTGCCACAATAAAAATCACACATATGAATGGAACATTTTGTGCAACTTGTCGTTTGGTTTGAGCTCTGCTCTCCTCCGCTCTGCTCCGCTCTGGAATGGTGAAACTTTTGTGTGCCATTTGCCACCTTATGCAAATCACAGCCAAAGAGCAATGAAGTCCAAAGTGAAACCAACGATTTGAGCGGGGGGAGTAGAGCAGGGGGGAAACCTCAGGTGCCAAATCTCGTTTTCCCAATGATGATGAGTCCTGAATGAAAGGAAATCTCTCTCTCGTTATTGTCGGGGACAGGAGCGTGCCCCTTTAAATAGACAGATTTCAATTTGCTAATAGCCACGTGGCATATTTTCCATGCAAGGCACTCTCGTTTCTATTTCTTGCGATTCGGTCTAGACAAAAAATTTAAAAAGTAAAAGGTTTTTCCACCATTTGGCTCTCTCTCTCTCTCTCTACACTTTTTTCCTTTGTCTGTTTGTTTGCTCTCTCGCAGAACTGTGCTTTCAATAACTTTAATATCGTTTGTACGGCGGAAATTGAATTGAATTACTCCGCGAGTAACTCGAGAGCGAAATGCGATGGAAAAACCTCTCGTTTGAGCGGGAGTTTTTCCTCGACTCTGTTTCTCGGTTCTCTCTGGAAAGTGAGACGAGTCGTCTGCCGCACGGCGGTGGCAGTGGCAGTGGAAGTGGAAGTGAACCGCAGATATTTTTAATGCTCGCCTTCACTCAGAGAAAGGCAGCAGAAAAGAAGTACTTGGCCAGAAGTATGGCTCAGACGAAGCGTAAGTGTAGATTTTTGCACCAAAAAAACCAACACTGGGGGAAAAATCATGACGAAGGATAGGAGTTAAACAAATATAACAAATAAAATGACTTTAAAATCCTTCAATCTGCATTTCCAATTACTATCCACAAGAGCCAGAGATGGAGATAAAGAAGATATTTAACGAGAATTAATTTGTAATAATTTGTTATTATTTATTTATTTAAAACGAATACAAAATATTAACTTAAAAATATATGAGCGCTAGCTACTCGGAGCTTCGGCTCTGCAGTTAAATATTTGCTGTTTATTTACATAAATTCGTTTAAATAATATTAATATTTTCGGATAATATACAATTTCTCTATATAACAATGCCCGGAATTTCAAGCCCTATTTCTTGTGGATTTTTCAACTTTTGTAAGGGTTTTTTGGGGTAAGTAAAGCAATGAAACTTACTCTCTCGCTGTTTTTCCTATCTTTCAGATATATGTACATATCTACTCATAGTCGAACCTCTCCATACACACACATACACATGCGTCTGTCTGTCTGCCTTGCACTTGTAGTACAAGTATATTCCCTCTCGAAGTCCTGTGAGGCGTAATTGAAATATGAAATTGGTGATTCAACAAGGCGCTGTGGACGCATCCTCGCTAGTGGTTCTGGGTCCTTGGAGCGCAGTGAGGCGAGCAAAGCTGCCAGCCTGCTGCCTGCGTGCCTGCCTGCCTGTCCGACAAAAGAGGAGCTGCTGCGGAAGTGTTGGGTTCCCATTGAACCGTTAACGACTCGGCATTCTTCATGGCCTTTCTCCCTCTCCTTCGCTCTCTCTCTCTCTCTCTCTTTTAGGTAGGACCAGGACCCATGCTTGGGATGCAGAGATTAATTTTTCGCTCGCTTGTTAATAAATTAATAAATTAAATTGCATATTTTCTCTTTGGCGGTATGCCTTTTTCCTAGGTACATATACGATACGTTGATATCATGAGAGTTATGTGCCCGAAAAAAAGTGAAAATTTTAATATAAATAATTTTCGCTCGATTTTCTCTTTGATACAAACAACATTCTGCGCTGCTCTCTCCTTTCGCCTGTCACTCTCTCTGTGTCGCTTTTGTGCCTTGAAAACTATTTCCAATCATTTTGCATAAATTTTGTGTGACTTTCGCTTCTCGGAAAATGGAAAATGAAAATTTTTCACCTGTTTAAAGTGTCTCACCACATTAATTAATATATATTATATGACATTTTTACTGAGCTACTAATAGATTTATAGGAGAGTGGCCACCCACCCACCCCAACCAATCCACTCTTTCTTTTTTTGCTGTTGCTAAACTGCAATTAATTAAAATGGAATCAATTAAAATCAAATGAAGGATTGCAGTTTAATGATTAGGAACCGTTGAAGTATGAATAATGAATAAATAATGCCATGAAAAACAAGGAAATTTTTAATATTTAAATAGATTTTGGGAATGGGATTGAAAATTAAATAAACGCAAAGAGGGGTTTTACTTAAATACATTTATGATTGTTCAATTTATCCTTAAAATTGTACACAAAACCTTATTTAAGAGCACATTAAAGTCTAAAGTATTTTATTTTCTTTCCTTTAAATAAATTTAAGATTTATTTATTATTTAGGAGCACTTAAGGCACTTAAAATGTAATTAAAAACATTATTGGGGGTCGAAGTCAAAGAAATAAGCCATTTTAATTGATTTAAAGCATTCGTAAAATCCCCAAAATGATTGCCAAAGAAGAGAAACAATCTCCAAGTGTGCTTTGACTAGTTGTAGTATTTTTCCTACATAAATCTCAATGTGCATGGACAAGCCTCCTCCAAAAATAACCATCAAGTCGAAAGCACTATCTTTATGCATAAATGTAGATGTACTCGTACCACTAGTACTTATGTATATGTAGCTCTGGTTCTCTGACCCCTTGACGGCGATCGCCTCTCGTGCTTTAGGTTAATCGTTATTGTTCGCCGCAATCATGAATTGCAGCTCAAATTGCGTCATACGTTAAATCAAAATGATTATCAGGTTCCGATTTCCGAGCTCCAATCATAATTAATAACTAAAACACTAAGTGTAACAATTAATATAGCCAGTAGAGAATACGAGTGTCATTAATCATGCACTGAGAGGACAAAAACTATCAAATATATAAAAAAGTAAAATATTTCTAAAGATATCTTAATTAAATGTCAATAAAATTAAAAAAAATATATATGAAATCAAACGAAAATTAAAAATATAAAAACAATTAAATTATGTATAATTTAGTTATAAATATAGATAATTAAATGGAAAGTGACAAAAAAAAATCAAATATTTTCACCAAAATATAAATAAAACTAAAAAAATTTAAAACAAAATAAAAATGTAGTACAAACAAAAATCAATTAAATCCAGATTATCGAATGGAGTGTACCCAAAAAAACAAGGAAATATTTATTAAAAAAATAAACATTAAATATAAAAAAGGTTACAAAGAAGAAACAAAATATATATATATGTATATATTTTAGGTATTAATTAAATAAATGAAAAACCAAAAAAAAGGCATATTTTATAAGCTATAAATCTAGAATAATGAACGGCACGTAGTCCTTTAGTGTTGGGGGGCACATTCTCTTTCTGGGGGCAAATTTTAAAGATTATATGTGGATAATATTAAATCGAATTTTAATCAAAATGAGATCAGCCTTTCCAAAACCTTTCAAACCTTTGCCATAGAAATAGTGGGGCTTCCTTTCGCTGTACAAATTTCCCTGAACATACATTATTCCATAAAAAGGACACAAACGGAGTGTGGATCAGATGTTTTGAAACATTTTGAATGCAACTCACAACTGAATGGAAGATAAGTCTCTCCATAAATCTCTTCTTGTTTCCACCAAAGTCCAAAACATCTTTCAATTTTTGTTTAGAGTGTATTCCAATAGATAAGAATTCCAAAAGAAAAGACGTATTTAAAACGTTTTGAGCTTATCAGCTAACCAAGCGAAAAAAAGAGCCGAGCTGCAAGAATCTCACACACACACACACAGTCACACAAAGTCACACACCGACACAATCGGCCGGACTGTGGATTGAGGAATACTTTAAGAGTGATTTTACGAGCATTGTATGGGTTTTATATTTCGATTGGAGCCAGCCGACCGATCCGATCCGATCCGACCCGAACACACAGTGGAGAATGGAAATGCGAAATGCGAGGAGAATGAACATAAAATCGGAACCGCGTGAAACGAGTTTTTAGTTGATTCTTAGCAAGCGGCAAACGCGCAACAGATCGTACAGAGAACCCGAATCCCAAAAAACAACAAAAAACGATCGCGTGAAATTGTGAAATACATTTTTGGCTATATAATATCTGACATGATTGCGATTAAAAATCCACAAAGTGAACAAATCAAAAGGCCTATAGTCATTGCAAAAAGGAACAAATAACCCCCCTAAAAAACGGGGTAAAATAAAAGTGGAAACTAGTTAGAAAGTGAATAAATTTCAACAAAATTTTGAAGCCAAGGAAATGGCGTGTGGTCTGAGGATTATATCTCTGCTGCTGCTGTCGATTTCCATCGATGCATTGCCCACATATCATCTCAATCAGAGCTGCCCGTACCAAAGCCAATGCGATCCTTCGATCAATTGGCAGCACATCCGCCGACTGGAGAGCTACGTGCGCAGAGATGTGGATCCCTGTGTGGATTTCTATGCCTATGCCTGTGGCAATTGGCGGCGCATCCATAGTGAAGGCGGCACAGCCACAACCATAAGTGAGGCACAAATCAACCAGCGATTTGAGGACTTGTTTCTGCGCCTCCTGCAAGATCCCCTGGCTCAGGAACACGGATACCCCATGCAACAGAAGCTGTTGACCCACTATCAAAGCTGCACGGCGTTGACGAGCCCCAATTTGAGGCGGTATCTGCAGCTATTGCCTCCCCTACCCCCGCTGAATGCCTCCCACTGGATGGAGCTGGTCTCCATCCTGGGACGCTATGGATATCACGATCACTTTGTGCAGATCGAAGTGCGGCACCACAACATCAGCCAGCACATGATCTTCATACAGCCGCACAATCACAATCAGAATCTGGATCTCACGCGGGAAATCTACGATGCTCTGCCACACAATGGGATTGGATTTGCTCAGCTCAAGGAAATGTTTTCCGTACTGGAATCTCATCTCAACAGGCTGGCAAAGCCCAACATTACGGATGATAGTTTTCACAACTTAACGCTGGAGCAGATTCGCAGGACGGTCCCAGAATTGGATTGGCTAGGCGCCCTCAAGCGACAGTTGAATCGTTCATCGGTGAACGCGGATCACTCGTTCCAGGTGGACGAGCTATCGGCCATCAGGCAGGTGATATTGTACCTCAATCGGCAGGACAGACGGCTGCTGAATCTGTACAGTCTGGCGAGATTTCTCAGCCATCTGCTGCAGCTGCCGCACAATCCATTGGAGAGCCTGTCATCCGCTTTGATGTCATCGAAATCCCTGTCCATCGCCTGCATACGTCACATGCGTAGGACCCTCTATCTGCCCATGATTTATGCCTACGAAAGGGTGTACTACGCACAGCAGCGACCATCCGATGAACGTGTCATCCACAGTGTCTTCACAGAGCTCAAGGATCAACTAGTGCAGACGCTCGATCAGAATAACTTCAATCTAGACCGAGGACTGGTGAAGGCGCTGCAGACAAAGGTCCTGGGCATGCGGTTGAATGTGGGAAATGTCCCCCGCAATGTCACGGAGGATTTCTTCTGGGCCACCGACAGAAACTGGAAGGTGGGCCACGACTTCCACGAGAATCATTTGAACAGCCTGCTCTACTACTATTCGCTGACGGCCGAGCTGGAGGGCAATCCCGACGCCACAGAGAAGGCTTTATGGTATAGCTTCAACAACCACTCGCCCGATCTCACGGACAACATCGATGCCACGCCGTACTTTTACTGTCTGGGGAACATCATCATAATACCATACTCGTATGCCCAGCTGCCGTTCTACCACTCCGAGTTGTGGCCAGCAATGCTCTATGGGGATCTGGCCAACACTTTGGGCCACGAAATGCTGCACGCCTTCGACACGGATCTGGTGGACTACGATGTGCAGGGCAACATGAGGGACTACAGCGAGCAGCTCCAGCAGCAGCCGCTCTATGTGGAGGCCGTCAAGTGCCTGAACGACAGCTCTGTGGTGCTGAACGAACGCACTTCCGATGTCAGCGGCTCCCGCCTGGCATTCCGCACCTACATGAAGGACACCCAGAGCTGGCAGTCGAACGGCAGATACTATTTCCTGCAGTTCTCGCACTTCTTTTGCGGCGACGAGGGCGACAGATACCACGACATGGGCAGCACACGCCTCAACTACGCCCTGAGTCAAATGCCAGAGTTCGCCGCGTACTTCCATTGTGCCAGGGGCACGCCCATGAATTCTGCCGAGCAGTGTCAGTTTTGGTAGCCAATCTATAGTATATATCGATTAGTATCTTTTTAGCATTAAGTCTAGTGTTTAGCCGGTGTATAGCTTTAATTAGTTGCCCCCCTCAATGCCCTCAACACCCTCTCAAGTATTGTGAATAAATTTCCTTATTTAGGAACCTTTAACTCTACCTTTTTCGCTGTGTGTTCTCTGTGTCTGTTTCGGTTTTGGTTTCTATTCTGGATTTTGGTATGCGGCACGCATATGTCGAGCAAATTCCATGGCCGGAACGTTGCAGGAGCGTCGCAGACAAGTTAATTTTCAATTACGTGGCACAACGTGAGACACATCCCAAAGGGATGTGCTGAAAGGTAAGGATATATCTATGGATTACGAGATGCACCGTGTGAAAGTAATCCGAACAGTGGATCATGCTCTATGATTCTGTTGGAGGAAAGAGTGGGATACCTATAGACTAAGAGATTACTTGTGTTTTTCAGAATACTAAATTATACAAAAATTCCGATTAGAGAATACCCTTCCTTCACAAAATAAATTAAATAAAATATATAAAAATACTGCCATGACAAATGGCGAAAATTTGTATTTTGGCTCTAAAAATGATCCGATTTAAATAAGATTTCTAGTAGATCGTGAAAATCGTTAAAAAAAAAAACGTACATTCATAAATAAAGACTCCACTGTTGTTCCTAATCATGATTATGCACTTCAGAAATCAGAAGTCGAACAGTATACACTTCAAAGTTTCCAAATTTAATTAGTATACTTTCTGTAGTTCCCATATATACCCGTTTTCTTCATACCAAACCTCCCATAAATCTAAAACACCCTCCTATCCCATCCCGAGTACGAAAACTGCAGAAACGGCACAAAGATTTGTTTCGTCATGCACTGAAATCCAGAAACCGGGCAGTGCTCTGCAGAGCACAGCAACAGCTAAACACACAGATACTACTTACTCACGCACACATAAGTATGTGGGTGTGTGTGTGTGCATGTGTACGCTCTGTATCTATGTGCGTATTTCCCGGCATACTTTTTTATGTATTTGCTAATTAACACGCTTCCTGCCGCACAACAGAGCACAGCAGTCGTAGTCGTAGTCGAAGTCGAAGCCGAAGCCAACGCAGTTGCTGAATGCCGAAGCCAAAGCCAACACGGAAACCAGGGGGGAAAGATGTCGTACGTACCGTTGGCTTTCACTTGGCAACTTGTTGAAGGTCGTTGCGCATATTACTCATACGAAGCGTGGCGTGGCGTGGCTTGGCGGCATGGGGATCGAAACGGTATGCCTCCACCTGGCAACCGCATTAATAGACCATTAACAACATGGCCCGGGAATACGCGGCACGTGAGTAAAATGACAAAACCCGACCCCTCTGGATGGGCTGGTCAACCCCAGAAATGGGGATCCAATACCACAAAACAGACCCAGACCCAGACCCAGACGAGTGGCTGTCTAGCTATCGTAGGTTTTTGCTGATGAAGGGAAAAAGTGGATGCTTTGTAAGGCAAGAAAAGTATCAACGTCTATGTCTAGATATTCCAGACTAAAGTTCAGCTTAAGTTCAGCTCAAATTAAAGCATATGCTGGAGCTAATTTGTAATGTTTTGATCCTATTTGCTCTGTGATAACTATGATAATCATATGTTTTAGTGGATTGCCTGAATACTTATGGAGTTTCCAAGGATCAGTGATATGCAAAGCAGTACAAGAAGATCGTTTAAGATATTCCCCAGAAAAAACGACGAGCTTATAATTTAACTAAACACAGTAGAGGTGTTCTTTAATAGTATTCCTATATATCCTGGAACGGTTCCATTCCATTCCGCAGTCTGGAACCCTTATAGACTTCTTAGAAATAAAGGTTTCTGATGAGTTCATTATTCCCTGAACATTCTATTAAGTTCATTCCTATTGACGCCTAATCAAAGCAATCTAAAACCGATCTATCAAATAAGTATAGCCACTTGGAATGAGTCAAGAAACTCTTTGCATTGTACTATCGATACTACGATTATTCACTAGATTTAGTTCATTAGTTCCTGAATATTATCTCAAGTGCACTTCAATTGATTAGAAACCAGAGTACGAGTAATCGTAGTTTAACGAATTCTATAAACTATAGCTAGCTCGCACTTGTAATGAGTATTTCCCAAGTAATTCCGAGAAAGAGAGAGAGGGAGAACACTTGACTTAATGCGAATGTCTAGCAGTGTCTGGGGTTTGTCGGACTGCCGACCCGGGGACCCAGGGGCTGAATTATGCTGAGTCGCGCGATTTGCTTGGGTCCCCTCCAACTTCGCGCCGGATCGGAGCGACTGAGACGCGCGACGACGCGTGGCTTATCAGCGGAGGGCTTGGACGCTTCATTCATTCATGTAAGTCAAATTGGTTGTTGGGTTTTTGCGGTTTATAATTAAGTTTAATTTTAAACCGCTTCGGCCAGCGGAATTTGCACACTTTCGAGTGACGCAATCCACAATGAGAATTGTATCAGAAAAATGCGGCAGTACTGGCGGCAGTCGGGCAACTGTTTGTTCTGTTCCGCACTGTACGTTGGTGGGAATTGATGTCACATGTCACGTGTGACCCATGGGTTCGTGTGTGCGCTCCCTCTCTCCCTCTCTCGCTCTGCCTCGGTTGCCGGCCGGATTTGTGTGTCTGTATGAATGTCTCACACGTGTTGCATGATTGCCGGCCGCACATTGACTGACTGTTGAGGCAATGCTTAGTGGGGGAATGATGAAATTACAATCCATTGGACCGTCATTCGTTTCATAAGATTATGATTATGCTACAGAGTAGGAGAGGGTTTCTCTACGTCTTATATTTATCCAATTTGTATTATCTGTTTTTCTATGAAATTATGCCAAAGAGTTGGAGAGGGTTTCTTGATGGATTTGTTGCTCTTATGCCTGATACTTTTCGACTTTTAATTGCTCTTTCTGTTTGTTTATTCCACCCGAAATTCTATGATAACCTGTGCCCATACTTAATCGACCCACAATTAAAGAGGAGACACAGAGAGAGGGGGAGTGGGGTTCGCTGCGTTCATGTCAAAACAAAATGCGCATAAAGCCGGTGGGTGCCTCTCCCTCCAATAAAAAGCCAAATCTCTGCGGCTGCGAATCTCACGTTCTAGTGTCACTGACAGAAAGCGCTGGTCCGGTGGTACGGTGGTCCGTCCGTCCGGTGTCCGGTGTCTGGTGTCCGCCCTAACCGCTGTCTGGTGTCTGATGTCTGATGTCCGCTGTCCCGAATGTTTGACAGTGTGTCCATCTGTCCGTACGACAGTCTAGTTAGCCCGCAAAAACCCCAAGCCGCATGTGTTTATTATATAACACTCTCTCTGTATTCGTATCTCCCTCTCTCTCTATCTCTCTCTCCCACTCTATCGCTCGCTCTCTGACAGAGCATTTTTTCAGCGACCACAATGTTTGTAAATGCTTTTTCAACATTCGGTGGGATTTTTGGGGATTGGTTTGTCTGCCAGCCATTTGTTGTTGTTGTTGCTGATGTTGTTGCCGTTGTTGTTTCCTCCATGTCCCACTGATTGTTTGACTAACTATGGAGTTGTGTCCTATCGGTGCGACTGATTTTTGTCGTATGCTGCGTTGCCACTGCTGTTGTTAGCATCATTGTTATGCCTTTCAAACAAGACAGACAGCGGGACAGAGACAGACAGACACACGTGCTGATTTTCACACGGAAAGAACAGTCCTTTCATGGGTGTATTTTTTAAATCAGTAATTGGAGAACAGGAGTACAAGCAGAGTCCATAAAATATCTCTTCTGGGGCTTAAGTTTGATTATTTTAATAATTTATAATATATTCGAATATAATATTTTCATAAAAGATATTATTTGTTTGTTAAATAAAGAACATGAACTAAAAGTAGAAGATCAGAGTATAAAAGGTAGACGGATTGGAACTATTAGATCATAGTATACAAATTACACTGATTGAAAGTCTAAGAGCATAAAATGAAGTACAGATATTCACAAAGCGCACTTACCTTAGTTATCTAAATACATATACATTTATGTACACTAAAAACACTAATAAAACAAAGTTACTGTATGGCAATATCTGAAATGGAAACAAAAATAATTTAAATTAATTTGTTTATTGTAAAAATCTGTAAAATCCAAGAATTGTATCACTTATACGAATCCTTAATGGATTAATCTAAATAAATTGTATTTAATAAAGTGAATGATGATGATATTTTTATGTTTAATGCCCTCCAATTCTGGGAATGAAATATATGCAAAAATATAAATATGTTTGCAATTATTGGTTCATTAATTTATTCCATCAATTTTTACAGAATTAATTGTTAGCCTTTATAGTAGATATATACCCAGATAAAGCTTATGATGCTTTCATCTCCCTTGCGAGGTTCCAAATCAATCAGGAACTGTATGCAATCTTCATAGAATTCATTGCCAGCAGCAACGGGGAATAAACGTCGTTTGAAAGTGCATCAATCATCAAATAAAAGCACAATATAAAACCATCAAACCAATGCCAGAGATTTGTCCACACTGCGGTGGCACAGTCAGGAGGAGGGGGAACAAACAAACCATCAAATGGGGGACCAAAACGAGGGAATCCAAACACATTTTCCAATTCCGACAAAATATTGCGGCGCCCGAAAGTATGCAATCATTTATTGAAATTTTGAGCGCTTTTTTGCGAGTGCGTGTGTGTGCGTGTTTGTGTGTGTGTATGCGGTTGCGTCGCGTTACTCTCTTTGTCTCTCTGCTGACGAGTGTGTGGAAGAGTGTGGGTATATCTGTATGCACTAGTGAGAGCAATTAACTAACAGACAAGCCATTAGGCAAAGCAATTTTGACGAGACAAAGTTCCTGGACATACATACACATATGTATGAGCAAAGGCAGATAGGGATAGAGAGAGCCTTACATATTTCGACCACTTGATTAATATTCCAACTGTAATTATGCCGCTTCCTGTATGTATGAGTGTATCTGTGTGCATTGATTGCAAGATATGAGCAAACATTAATGCACAACGCACACAAAACACACAAAAAGATACAGTATCTGCGTATCAGCGACATTTTCCAATATCGAAACGTGCTTGAGAGGCCGCCCCTGCCGCCCCCACCCCCCCAAAAAGATGTCCTACCATTTTAATTGCCGCCCAAAAAGGCGGCTTCCATATTTTATTTTTTTCCCCCGTTTTCCCTCGTTTTCATATTTACGCGCCACAATTTTAATTAGTTTTACCCTGCGCCTGCCAACGCCGCTCAAAAATTTAAAGAAGGAAGCCGACAGCATGAGGAAAAGTCACGAAAGGGCCGACTACTATGACGCTGACGCTGACGCTGACGCTGACGATGACATCACAGATGACTTTAAAGTTATGGTTTAAAGACGCAGCGAGAGAGAGCAAGTGATGGACGGGGTCGTCTATTTGAGTACAAATATGTGCGCGGAAAACATAAAACAAAAAAATATAATATTATATGCTATATTTCGAATGAGTGATACCCACGCTACGAAGAATGTTGACAAAAAAACAGGGGATTAAAAATCGAGAAAATCATGACAAGCCACAGAATTTCGTTTGAAATACATTTTTGGAAAAATATACAATAAATAAATAAATAAGGTACAAATTAATACACAATATCCTCTGGACTGGACTACTGTGGGTACCGTATTACCCCTCCTTATGCTACATTATATAATTATCGGATAGGGAGTTAAAGTATTCCCCTTATCTCAAAATTGAGCAAATAAAAGCCACATAACCTTTTAACTCTGTACACCACAGCTTGTTCTCTACCTTTTCTAACCTCCAGATGATCTTCCAATCCCAGAATGATCCCCATCTCTAAGGCCCCCTCCACAAAGCCATAATAAGAGTTCTACCTTCTTAATTTTATTACCTACCTCTCTCCAAACACGATACACTCCTAAGTACCACTCGCACCCTGTATAAAAACATGTACTAATACTCGGGAAAAGACAGCGGAGAGCAGTGGAGATACAAGACACACACACAAACATATCAGTGATGGCCGCCGATGCCGCTCTCTCATGTTGGCAAACATATGAAAAGGCAAAGTCGTCAGGCTTGATTATTGTCAAACAGTAAGCGAAGAAAGACGTGGGACAGTTGTCGAGAACATCAACAAGAAGATCCGCTAAGGCTACGGCAAGTCGAAATCAAATAGCAAAATGTGGATAATAAATAAAACGACACTGTCAATACTCTAAGAATTCAACTCCTACTTACGCCAAGCGAGCCGAATGGCAGCCCAGAGATTTGAAGTTTAAGGAGCGGTGTATACCCCACACCAGTTGCAAGGTATACCAGAGGCGGCAGCAGCAGCAGCAGACACATCCGACGGTCGCAGGGGCACTTCGACTGGCTCGTAAAGTCAAACGATGTGAGGACTCGGCACAAACACTACACCCACACACCCGGCACACCCTGCACACCCTGCACACCCTACACACCCTGCACACCCTGCACACATGCGACCTGTCAGTAACACAGGCATTTGGCAGGACTTTCAGACTGAGAATCCTACGGAGAGTATTCCCTGCCCTGCCAGGCGGCTATCTTACAACATTTTATCGCCAAAGCTCCTCTCACTGTGGCTTTTATTTGTCAAACAAAGTATTTTTATTGGCTTTTTTAGGGAAGCGAAGCTCTCTGCCCCACAGCGCCGACATGGGGCAAGGGATGAGTGGTGTGGGGTCGATGTGTTGTCTGCTAAATACTCGACACTTGGTATGTGATTGAAATAATGCCTTGGCGATAATCCTTGTCTTATTAAACCGTCCTGGCAACACACATGCCACTCCCAGATTTGGGTCTGGCAGGTGGATATATGTATAATATATTAAACATCGCCTGTGACCCTTAATAAAATTAAAATCACTTGCTGTTGACATTTTGACAGCCATTTGGTTTCAGTTTTTCCTGCCTAATTCTTATTAAGAAAATTGTGCGTAACGGATACGCCCAAGTCCTCTGTTTTCTGGACAGTAATTTCATAAGATTAAAGATGAAGGATAAGGCAACTTTAATGAGGGGATCCGTACAGGTAAACAGAATGTAAACCTCTCGGCACAAAGTATTATGATCCAACGTTCAATTTCTGCTGCCCAAAAAACATTTCCGTGGGCAAACAAATATTTGGGCGGCTTCTTCCACAAAACTGTTTGCATTATGGCCAGAAATTAGTGAATCAAAAGAAGGCCTCGCGCGCCCCTTTGCCGCTCCCGCAGGAGTGAAAAATCGAATGCAAACAAGAAAATTGGTTGGCAGGATTGTGTCTGATATGAAAATGCGTCAACATAAAAGGCAGATTCGATTAACTCTCACGAATGGCGGGCGGTAGGGCGGCTGAGATGGGGGTACAATACTGTGAAATCCAATCAGTAGCCCCAGCCCAACCCCCAAAAAATGTGGATGATAGGGCGGGGAAACCGGCATTGAAAATTAGGTAAATTACCGCATGTGCTGGTTGCCACACTCTTGCCGCTGCCACTGCCGCTGCCTCTGCAGCTGCCACTCCCTCCCTCTCTATCTCTGTATTTATCCCCAGTGCCAACAAAACCGCGACGCACCGCAAATCGCGACCATCCAGAATGTACAGATGGTGGAAGGGGGGGGCTCTAGATACAGTCGGAAGCCCGTAGATACAGTTGTAGTAGAGGGTGGGGCAGAGGGAGCGCAGCAGATACAAATGAAGGAGTCGGGGAGGCTTATGAGTTATGTGACACACAGACAGTGTAAACATTCAAATTTCGATTATCCAACAGGAAAACGCCTGCCTGTCTGGCTGTCTGCCTCACTGCCTTGCTGCCTGATTTAATGACTGATTTGTTCATATATTAAAAGAGTTTAATAAAATTACACACACACACACACTTTGTGGTAGGGGCCAACGAGTTCTCTTCCCCTTTGAAACAGAAGTCAGAGGTCAGGTCAGGCGAGAGGACAAACCCCCAAACTCCCAATCGACCCACCCACCATGCAAGTGGTTGTATGTACGACCCATTCATAAAGCGCCGTTGGCGATAAAGTTAATTTGCTGATTACAAAGTAACCTCTTTGCCATAATTTATGAGACAAGGTGATAAGGGAGGAGCGAGAGAGAGTGTGTGTCCGGCAGAGGGCCCTCTGCAAATGCCCTGCAAATGGCCGAGGATGTGGTGAGGTTCTTCTTCAAATATAAATCAACCCTTTGCTGCTCAGTCACACTGGGAGAGAGAGCCAGAGACAGCGCTCAGCTGAAGATTCAGTCACTACTGGAAAAGTGTAGATGAAAAGAAGCGGCACAAATAAATGTATCCATGACGAGTCCCTTCCCCAGATATTCGTATATGCCCCACTCCCTACTGTTTCATCACCTACAGTTGTGGCCCAAAAAAAAAAAAAATACGGAAGCTGCATCGCTGACCAAACGACTCCTAGACGGTCAGACGGGGTCCTGCGCCGCTGTTGTCTTTGGCCGCGGGGCGTGTGCAAAGCCAAAGGACAACACGGTGCCACCTAATTACCGCAGAAACGGGTTGTCGCAGATTTCTGTTTAGATTTTATGAAACCACGCCAGCGCACACATGAGTGGAACGCAAATTAGCAACATTCAAAATGAATGAAGGAAATGCCATGCATTTCAAGAGGCGTGCTCAGATTTAAGGCACCAGTGGGAGGCGGGGTTGTATTAGAGAACCTAAGAAAAGTGCATGATAGGGAAATTATATACATATGTATATGGTAGGTATATGTGGAACTGATGGATTGACAAGGGTACATTCAACTCGTTCAAGATATGTAACAGAAAGAAGGCAACCTCTCCGTTTCCATTAAGATCTTAAGATCTTAACGTAATGCTTTGTCTATCTGAATAAGAACCTTCCTCAGGTTTTGGAACAGATACAAATAAATTCTTTGATATTCTGTTGAATTTTAAATATAGGAACCTCCTGCATGGAAGTTTTATAGGCTTGTGATATTATCTGTAAGAGCTAGAGATTCCAAAAATACAAAAATAAGTTAAGAATAAATCCAAAGGAATCATAAGTTTCAAACACAGAGGAATCCCACTTGACAGCCTTATAGATTGTGTCCTTATCTAATTAGTATTTATATTCGTATGAGGTATGGGGTACATAGAATCAGTGAGATTCGATATAAATATTGGTTATTATCTTTTTTCATTTTTTTGTTAAATTTAGTAAATTTTATATTCTTAAACATTCCTTATCCCATTTTCAAAATTCCAAGGCAGTTGTAACCCACACCTTCGGTTCAGTTTTTGTGGAGAATATTCGGACCTCTCTTTATTTAATTTATTTCGAAGGGAATCCTCGCATTGCGATTTCTTTGATACGTTTTCTGTTTATTTACTTGATATCCCTGGAGTCTGTTGGCTTCACCTGGAACCTGGAACCGGGCCATAACCCCAGATGGTACCAACCGTTGCCTTTTGCCCTTTTTTCACTGGCTTTTCCTTTCTTTTATTCCCTGTTTCTTAAGATAAAAACTCGCCAGAGCTGGGGAAAAATAGCAACAGGAGCAACAACAACAGCAACTGCCGCTAAACTGTTAAAAAATTCAAGAACAAATATTTGTTTCTCGGTCTGTTTGTTAGCTTGTTTGTAAAACTAATGAAATTTTTGCCATATTCGACCCCAACAAGAGGGCAAAAGAGCATAAAACTTGACCGCAAAAAAAATTAAAAAAAGAGAGCACCAAAAAAAAATTAACGCCACCTTGGAAGCCGCCGCAGAAAAAGGAAAGAGTAGGATATGTATGGCGCCTCCAGAAAAAGGAAAGAGAGAGCAAAGGCCAGAGAAAAAAAAATACTCCAAATCAAAAGGCAAAAGTGCAAAAGACAAAAGCCAGCGGGCGAGTCGGAACCGTCGGAATCGCGCCAGCCAGATTATTATGTCAAGTCACGTTTATGAGCGTAATTTCGACAAGACACCCTGCCCCCAACCGACCCCACAAAATTCCACATCCGGACAGAGCGGAACAGAGCGGACGGATCGGACGGACCGGAGCGGAGCTTGTTAAGCGGCAAACGCGACATTGCAGCAGTTAAGACACCGCCCGCGGCCAGTCAATAAACCGTTAAAAACTCACTAGAAAAACAGAAAGACGATGAGATAAATTTTTGCAGATGTTCGTAAAGATGGCGGGAAATCATAAAGCCGATATGAAAGATGAATATCAAACCTTCAAGAGGGATTACAAAATTTGTTTGCATAAACTATGAATAGCTAAGAGCTGAAATGGAAGATCCATAAAGATCATCCATAAGGAAGGGAATATATTTGGAACCTTAATCCAAATAATTCTACGACCAAAGTGCACTTGCTCTATAAATAAATATAATAATAATATAAAGAAATCGATATTATCGACTTTCTAAGATCAACAGGCAGATATTATGGACGGAGGTGGATACTTTCATGGTGTCCAAATGTACAGGCGTGCTATTGAAAAGCAGATCATTTCGGATCGTATCGTAACCTGCATCGCAAATGGAAGGCACAGTCCCAAGAACTATACGTACACCTCGTAGATTTCGTGAGGAACTCACGGTACGCCCAATACGATGAGTTCTTTATCGAATGTGAAAATGAATTCTATCGAATGTCAAAGATGGGAGCCTTCAATGGCGATGCGGGTGATTCGATGAGAGAGAACCAGAACCAGAAGCTTACCACCTACGACAGGGGCAACGATGCCTGGGAGGAGAAGAACTGTGCTGTGGAGTTCATGGGTTCCTGGTGGTACACTGATTGCACCTATAGGTATTTATGTCGACATTTTAAACTAGAGTTTTCTAATGTCGTTATTTTAGTAACCTTTTCGGATTATATTTGAATGAGACCGTGGACAACATGAAGTGGAAGTGTGGAATATGGTACAGTTGGCGCGAAGAGGCCTAATTTTATAAAGTAATGCAGATGATGGTTCAACCAAAGTGCAGCTGCTCTATAAAAATCGAAGTTGTAAACTTAAAAGCGCCCTCTCGAGAGGAGTAGCTTAACTTGGCTCTTGGATGTGTCCATTATCTTCGGTGTTCCACGTTTTGGATCCTATCTTAGTGCCCCCGTTCTATATTTTAGTACTACCATGTTCTATGTTCTATTATATCAGTTCTATGTCCCGATAGTTCTACATTTCATATTAAATCTTCTTATATGCTACATGTTCTATGTTTTAAAAGTTCTATGTTCAAAATGGTTTTTTTTTCAATGACTTTTGAAAGCGCATGCGCCAAACAAAAATACCAAACTTTCGGGAAACGTTTGGCGCAAGCTTTTCAGAATTTGAATAAAAGCTTTCCCTATTTTAAAACCATAGAAATAACATCTTCATATTAAAATGGTTACTTGTAATCTACTCAATGGATTATTTGTAATCTGGATTGAACAAATATTCTTATAAAACATTATAAAAATGAAAATTTGGCCCGATATCCATGTATCTTCAAGCCAATCTTCAAATTTAATCTATAAAAATAAATTTGAGGCTATTCTCTTCTAAATTCCTAAGATTTAACAGCTTATGTTTAGTCTCGAGTAAAGAACAAGAGCAGTGTAGCCCAGTGTAGAATGATAAAATCGCGTTGATTTTTAATAATTTAATTGATAAGATAAGATAAGTTTAAGCTTTTATTGAATAGCTCAAATTTAGGCAATTTGAATGTTCCGAAGTAGGTGTGATAAAAAAAAAAAGAAAAGATTATATGCACGCTAATTCGGCACTACGAATAATTACGTCAAATCAAGATAAGAAATAAGTATAAAAGAATTCCACGGCACGTTTCATTCAGTCGACAGCGAGTTACAATGCAGTCAATGTGCATCTACGGGTTGCTAGTGTTTTTCCTCTGCAAAACGACAGGATTAGCAGATATTGAAGTGGTAAAATCACAAGTGTATTCATGTTATTAAATCAAAAATAGTACAGAAAATACCTTTTTTCAGAATGTTGAAAGCGAAACATCATTATGTTCAAAAGTTTGATTCGCAAGATCCCTGTGGGTCCCTGCTGGACTGTGATCGCTCGTCGAACAAACGGAGATCTTAACTTCTTTCGGAGCTGGCAGGAGTGCAAGAAGGGATTTGGCGACATTGCAGGAGACTTTTTTATAGGACTGGATAAGCTGCATGTCATAACGAAGTCACAGACTCACGTGCTATATGTACACCTGGAGGATTTCGAGGGCAACACGCGATACGCCCAATACGACGAGTTCTTCATCGAAAGTGAAAATCAGCTATACCGGCTGACAAAATTGGGTGCTTTTACAGGAGATGCGGGTGATTCGCTTAGTAGTCAGAAGGGCCACAACTTTACCACCTACGACAGGGACAACGACATAAAACCGGAAACAAACTGTGCATTGGACTACATGGGTCCCTGGTGGCACAAGCATTGTACCTATAGGTATGTCAGTGCATTTGGTATTTGAATGATTGTTTCTAATCTCAAAATTTCAGTAACCTATTCGCCATATATGTGAATGGTACCGTGTCTAGCATGGAACGAAAGGGAGTAAACTGGGCCGCTTGGCGCGGATTTGCCTATTCTCTCAAAGTAATCCAAATGATGGTTCGTCCAAAGTACACTTGCTCTGTATAGAAATAAAATAAATATCAAACTGCTATGTATTCTTGTAATTCGGATGAAAATCCGGTCGTGGGAGGAAATTAAAAGAGGAAGTAGCTTAAATATGTTACATTTTCTATACGGTATCTTCTACATTTCCAGCTTAGTTCTATGTTATAGCATATTCTATGTATTATATTTTATATTTCATTTTCTAGAAATAATAGAAAAATAGTATGTTCTATAAATTCGATTTTCAATGTCTTTTGAAAGCGCATGCGCGAATAAAGCTTACGATTTTTGGCTTTTAAATTAAAGTTTTCCCACGACAACACACCTTTGATAAGGTCAAAGCTTTCTTTGAAACGTTTCACTTGTAATCTTCATACATCGACAAGCTCCGAGCTAGAACCCCGAAATATTCCGATAGCATTGATAGGATTTATAGAAATTCATTCTGAAATGATGTGAGAAGATTTATACAACACGGACTTGCATTCTTAAATGCTAACGCTAAACTTCTTTCTGATAATCTCTTCTCATAAAAGATAATTTTCGACATCTTTAACGAATCATTAGATCAAAGTACATTTATTTCCTTTCCTATTGCCTCATCCTCTGCCAATAAAAGCGTGGCACTTTGAGCAGTCCAAAGAATAGAAACTCGAGGAGGCTGATCATCGAACAGCCAAGACACAGCTGGCAAATGCCACCAAAGGAAACTGTTATACAAAAGATAGCTTAGCATAAGATGCTGGTAGGATCTGATAATCTTAACATACCCAACAAATCTACCCAGGTGTAGATCAGTTTGGTTTTGTAGATCAACATCGAGGGTTTTTTAAAGAACACATTCAGCCACATGCCATTGGTCAGCGATGCATTGGGCTGCAGCCAGGGCTGCAGGACGCTCTTTCGCAGCTCCGTCACGAGGGTCAGCGACTTGCAGTTGTGCAGACAGTCGCACATGAGACCCGCATCCTCTCTATGGACATAGGGATGCTCCCCGTAATGCTCAAAGTTCTGCAGCAGGTGCTGGTGGGCCGCCAGGCAGGGTAGATCTATTGCCTGACAGGCGGTGTAATTCGAGGGCGGATAGAACAGATCCAAGGTGCAGTTGCAGTAGCGGAGCAGGTACCTCTGCTGGCACTCGGCCTGGCAGTTCTCCAGCATGTACTTCTGCCCCATCAGCGTGTGGAAGTGCTCGCTCCCCTGCTCGTAGTCCATCACACAGAGGCGCCGACTAGAGGGCAGGCTCAGGGTACTCTCATCGAAGTAGTGATAGACGGCGGTAACCGCCACATTGGTCCGTGTGTGGGGCATCACTTCGATGGGATAGCCGAACCACACTGAGGACTCCACTATGTTCAGCTGTGGAATAAACGATTAAGGATCTACTCTCTTTTCGGGAAGGGTTTAGCGCACAATAAATCCTTTGGACTCCAGATTCCCTGGTGCATGCTGGTCGGCATTGAGCAGGAGCCGTAACAGCAATCCTGTACCAATGCCAGAGGCACCATTACGCCGCTGTTCCAGCTCATTGAACGCCAGACAGTATCCCAAAGGCAGACGACGTGGCCGGAAAAGATGACAGCATTTCCGAGCTGCCGTACTCCAGCTACAATCGCTGAGGATCTCATCACATCGCCAGGACATTTCGCTGACAATCTGAGTGAAATTCAAATGATTGAGAGCCTGCAGCGGCTGATTCTCCAGAGATTCAAAGACTTTAAATTGGTGGAAACTCAAACCATCGTAGGCAGTTAGTATACGCTCGAACAGGGGCTCCTGGGATGGGGTAATGTTGTATCGGCTCCGAACCTCTGCCAATCGTGACCAATTCAAGCGATTCTTGTTGCATATTATGACCACTGGAAAGGCAATCTGATGCATGGGGGCATGCGAGTTGGCTATAGTCGTCTGAAAGTGCTTGTTGTGATAGCGCTTCGCCAACAGATAGCTCACGTAAATCAGCACAGAACAAGCACAGATCAAGGCCAAAGACCAGAGAACTCTAAAAGGAAATACTTGGCAAAATTTTAGCTGATAGATCTTCCTTCTACTCACCGCATGCGGCGTCGCATGGTTGGTAAAAATAGCACATATAAACCGTGTATATGCGATCGGGATATATAGCCTTCGAGTAACTGCATCCAGGCTGTTGAGGCTTCTGCTTTCCTGCCCTTTGATCCTTCCGTTACATCCTGACACTCACGCCATGCCACCACAGGCAGTCGACTCTTGATTTTTCCCACTTTACTGGCGTACATTTCGAACTTTTTGTAGTCCCTGAACCACAGAGTGCAGCCTTTTATAGAACTTTTTGGGTGGCTTCTGGTGATTAAGGGTATATTTCGGTTAAAGTTCATGGGCTGATGGGTTGGCCCATAGCTAAGTTTTATTTTTGTAACGAGCTAGGTTATAGGTAAAGAATTACCGAGATATCAGTAGTCGATACATAAATCGATAGATTTCGATATTTGGCATCGGCAAACTCGGTTCAAATGCGATAGATCCGCCATTTCGTAGCTCTCAGATAGCTCTCGCGATTTCTTAGTACTCGAAACTCTTTATTATCGACATTAAAACGGTTATCGATACTAAAATATATAGAGTTTATAGATGTGGAGTAGATAAACCCATTTAGATACCCCTTCGATAGCTGGCTATTTCGAAGGAAAAACCATATGCTATAAACATTGAGAGGGTATTCAATCATCCGCATGAAAGTACATAAACTTCCTTTCTGGCTGCTCCATTGTGAGTGCTTTCTAATCGTTGTGTGCAAATCATTTGCGATTGATTGCATTCAATTGAATTCATTTCGATGCCAATTAGCTTGACACATGTACTCGTACACCGTCTGGGATTCCGGGTGGGATGCAAATCAGGTTGAATCGAATCTCTTGGGGGATATGCCATCGATTGGCGTGACCTTTGGCGACTTTGCGGCAGTGCCAGACTGGTGGGTTAATAGGAGCCAAACACGTCAGAAACTCTAGTCTAACACTAGGACATGACAAGGCGTTAAACGGCATCTAATTACCAACGAACCGCCATCACGCATATGGGCCAAAAGCGGTATAAAAGAGCTATCCGTCACTTTGGTTGAAGTTAGTTGATTCAAATCCAACATGACGCTGGTGTATTTTCCGCCTCCGAGGCCACAGGAATCGCTGGCCCGTCGCTATGCCCAGCAGATAGCACAATCTGCCTGGCAGTTGGCTCTAAGATTTGGCAAGCGAACCACGATTCATGGCTTGGACAGGCTGCTCGGAGCCCGGGCCAGTCGCTGGGAAAGATTCGTGTGGCTGTGCACCTTTCTGAGCGCTTTTCTGGGCGCCGTCTATGTCTGCCTGATACTCTCGAAGCGCTACAACGAGGGACACTTCCAGACAGTGGTGGACAGCACCCGATATCCGGTGTATCGCATACCGTTTCCGGTGATCACCATCTGCAATCGGAATCGCCTCAATTGGGATCGTTTGGGCGAGGCGAAGAGCAGGTTCCTGCCGAATGTTACGGATTCTAACCAGCTAAACCTCTTCGAACGGATTGTTAGCACCTACGATGACATTAGTTTCGGGCACTTTCAGTCCTTCGAGCGACTGCGGAATCAGCCCACAGAGCTCCTAAGTCACGTAAACTTTAGTTTGGTGGTGGATTTTATGAGCTGGCGCTGTGATGAGCTCCTGGCCGACTGTCTGTGGCGGCATTATGCCCACAATTGCTGTGAGATCTTCTCGAAGCGTCGCAGCAAGAACGGCCTCTGCTGGGCCTTCAACTCCCTGGAGACCGTCGAAGGCAGACGCATGCAATTGCTGGATCCCATGTGGCCCTGGCGCACAGGTTCCGCCGGTCCCATGAGCGCCCTATCCGTGCGTGTGCTCCTGCTGGCGGATAAAGACTGGCCGGGACGGAAGAACGAAAAGGGCATTGATGTGATGGTCACAGAGCCTTTCGTCTGGCACAAGGATCCCTTTTATATACCCGCGAATACGAAGACCACGCTGGAGATTGAACCCATCATTTATTTCTATGATAATGATACAAGGGGAGTGCGTTCCGATCAGCGACAGTGCGTGTTCGATGTGAGTATTGGCTCCAGGATGCAAGTGCTTAAAGGTTTTAAGTTTAAACTCTTGGCAAAAAGGACGAGCATACGAGCCAGGATTTCAAGTCGCTGCTGGGCTACGTTTACATGATTGAGAATTGCCAATCGGAGTGCCATCAGGAGTACTTAGTGCGCTACTGCAATTGCACAATGGACCTGCTCTTTCCACCGGGTAAGCACGTTTCGCTCAACCGCAGACAAAAACCTTAAAAACTTCATGCTTTCCTGCCTCGTGCTCCGTGTGTCCAGGCCAATACCGGTCGTGCCGTTCACAGGATTTACTCTGCCTGGCAGAGCACAATGGTTCGTAGACAGCCTGACAGCCACCAGGCCGGCCACTTCTTCTAATCCCAGGGTACTGTACTGCATCCATCCTTAGACCTACTTCGGTACTCACATCAGCCCGGGGAGGAGGGCTTTGTGCGCAACAATTTCGAGGGCATGGTCTGCAAATGCTTTCGGAATTGTTACTCCCTCAACTACATCAGCGATGTCCGGCCCGCCTTTCTGCCGCCAGATGTCTATGGGAATTTCTCCTATGTGGATTTGGATGTGCATTACCGCTTCGAGACCATAATGGTGTATCGCACAAGCCTTGTCTTTGGTTGGGTGGATCTGATGGGTAAAGGAACAGAGAAGAGAAACCGTGGAAGTTCCCTCTAATATCCCCCACTCTTTCAGTTAGTTTTGGCGGCATTGCTGGTCTCTTTCTGGGCTGCTCTTTAATCAGCGGCATGGAGTTGGCCTACTTTCTCTGCATCGAAATACCCGCCTATGGCATCCAAGGACTGCGTCAACGCTGGCGTTCCCATCGACAAATGGCCACTGTCATCGACTCGACTGCCACGCCCACACTTAATTTCCGCCAGACCATGCCCAGCCAGCTGATGGAGCAGTATATAATGCAGCTAAAGACGGAGCAGAGTCAACGGAAAACGCTGAAACAGAAGGCCGGCAATCTACACAGTTGGCAACGCCTGACATTCGCCCATAAGCATGTTATTAGCAAATGAATAATGCTCACGAATAAAATGTGTATTTGTTCAGGAAATCATTGGCAAGTGGCAAGTGGCAAGAGGCAAGAGTGGCAAATGGCAAGTGGCAAGTGTTGTGGTGGGGCAGAACCAGCTGCCAACAAGTCAACAAACAAATTGTCCTCATTTTTCAGGCTTGCAATTTGCCCAGAACCATTGGCATCCCTTCCCAGCCAACCAACAATCCATCCATCCCTTTCATTCAACCCACACAACGAAGAACCTCCCCAGAGAGGTGGGGGAACTGTCTGCCTCTGGGTTCTGTGGCTCCTGCCTCCTGCTCTGAGGTTCCGGGTCTCCTGGCCGCACTGTTGACAGCTTCATTGCCAGACGACATTGTTAATCAAAATTGAGGTTAAGTCGTGCTCCCCAAGCGGCTTTCTCCATCAGTCTTCAGTTTATTGAGACATTCCCTCGACTTTTGGGTAGGTTCTCCTCCAGCCACAAAGTCGGGTTCATTGCAATTAAACCCAAAGTTTTGTTTGTTGTCGTAGGTCCAGGACTTTTGACGCACCCTCGGGAGCTGAAGCCGAGCCTTTTCCCCATTTAATCACAACAGTGCGTATGCATAATTTTATTTATTTACACGTATTTTCACCGCATTTTCACCGCTTTTTCATCGCGGTGTGTGTGCGTTCACGCAGCCGGCAATCATTTATCATTTCAATGGCGCGACGCCATTATTATGATTATTACTGCAGCCAAAGGCGGCGTGGAAATCGCTTGGAGACAGAAATACACCTGATAGGGAGGTAGGTTTTTATAGAGGTAATGTGAAATGGGAGAAATAATTGTATGACTCAACCTTTAAATTCATCTAACTAAGGAATAAATAATATATTCTGCATCAAGAAAAAAATAACAGAATGAAGCATCGTAAAAAATCGCTTATTTAGATTACTGAATCCTGTCGTAAGATTTGATATCTAAAAAATCTATTTTGTAAGCATTGATTTGGTATAATATATGGTGGTACATAAATATGTATATATTGTTTTGATATATTTTTTTGTTCTATGTACTATGAGCGCATAAAAAACTTCATTATATCTAGAATACAAATAAGCACTCAAATGATAGTAATCGAAAGAGTTCTTATTTCTAGAATAGAATTTATAAAGTAAGATTAAATTTGTGATTTCAAATTCAAGTTAGAACTTATATATTTATTTTTTTCAATTTATGTAAAAGAAATCGAAAAAACAAGTTATAAAATAATATATTTAGAAAAAAAAATGTGTAATAAAAATTTATTGTAGCTATAACGAAGCAACATTTTCTTCGTACCCCTGAGAACCAAATGATATAATTTTATCAACAGTGGAATATTTTATAAATATCTTTCACAGGTGTTTCCTGATTTTGTTCATTAATCTTAGGGTTCAAATCTTAAGTTCTACACAGGTTTAACGTTTGAACTATTTTTAAGGCATTTTAGATCATTACGGATCCATAGATCTGTCAAGAAGGGACTTTAACTTGTGTTCTTCATAGAAGTAACCTCAAGATTTCAATTGTTATTTATTATTTATTTATTTTCTTGATATTTTCTCTCAGTGTATCCATGCGTAACAGTCTGCCACTATCGTTAAGGCACCAAAAATCCACCAAAATTAAATTATATGTCCCACCATCGATGCGAAACCTATTGAAATTCAAAGTCAATCTGTGTGTGGGGGCGTGTGTGGTGGAAAGATTACCAAATTACTGGCACACGAAATGGCAGTCGAGCGTGAGAAGAAATCAAGAATTTCATAGCATTTCAGGAGCGGAGAAAATATTGTATAAAAATATTATCACATTTGATTTATGTCAAGCGGCCAAATTGACTCAATGCCAACACAATGGATGGAACGAAAGAACGAAGGAAGGCAGTTCCATGGGTCTAGGAGACATCCAGGTGTTAGTTTTTTGAGTTGGTACAATATTTACGCTGTCAGCGCACAAACCGTCAAATGGTGCTGCATGTGGCAGGAGAGAGACAGTGCAACCAGGAGGTAGGGCAGGGCAGGGCAGGGCTTTTGGGCCAATAAATGTCATGGCAGACTGACTTTTCCCTTCAGTTTTCGTGGCGCACAAAGTATTTTGTTCCTGACATCGTCTTGACACAGTTTGACAGGGCCAGCGGTGGCACCAACACATGCAACATTATCATTCACAACTTTTGACAGGAGTCCCGCCCACGGACTTGGAGGTTACTGGTGGTACTGTGTCTCTTCAGGACTCACGCCAAAAAGTTAAGTAATTAAAATATGAAGCATGCAAATTATACGACACATGACATCGTCTCGAGTGCTTTATTTATGCCAAATACTTGTCGTGTTTTCCGCCTAATTGATTTACAGCCATGTCAGAGTCCACCCCCCGACCTCATCCACTGGCGGCTACTGGCTATTATGGAAATATTGCTTCTGCCCAGCACTTTGGGCCCGGTCCGCCTTAATTGTAAGCACTTGTTAGTTAATTAAAAATGCAAATAAGCTTCGTGGCGTCCCTCTCAAACTTCGTGTGGCCTGTCTGATGGGGTTTTGCAGTGCCCATGTGCATGTGTGGCATCATCCATGATGTAGATGTTAAGCGACAGCGACAGATTTTCCCTGCCTTTTGGGATGCAACATAAACTTTTTCCTGTAGTACAGTAATCCCTACATCATCTATAAGCCCTTTTCTGGCAGCTATTTGATTTTAAAGTGTAGTAAAAATGGGTAAGATGATACCTAATTACCAAACCGAAATAGAGTATAAATACCACGATTTTCTTCTGTCAGAATTTTCAAGACTTATTGCTTTTTTATGACCAAATCATAAAGAAACTTTTTAATTAAAAATTTCATTGAAAAAGTAGAGAAAAGCGAAAACATGTAGCAGCACAGTAAATATTTATACCCTCGGGGGAATATTCGAGCAAATACGAGTAAAATCAATAGCTTTGGCAAATGTTGATTGTCAGGGAGAAGAAGGCTCACGAGAACGAGACTCCCAGCAATTGACCCGAGTCTGTCAATCAGTCAGTGGCTGAGCAGGCGACTAACAAGCCAAGGGGAATCTCTGGAACTGCGGCACATCTGACCTCTGCCTTGGTCCTGTATCCTTGTGGCAGTTGTCCTGCTGGTGCTACTTACCTGACAACATGTCCCAATTATTGTGCTCCACTGAAGCTGAAAATACACATGGAGAGAGCCACATGGATTTAATAAGCCACACGACACCAGGGGCGAGAGCGCACCAGCGAAGACTCATGTTTTCGTCTGGCATAATTATGCAGACAATCTTTTGGGATAGTTGACAGATAAATGCTCTAGAAATGGAAGGCACAGTGCAGTAGATGGAAAGCTACATTGAATGCTTGGAATAACACAGAAATTATAGTAAAATTCACTTAATATAAGAAATGCCAGACAATTTTGAGTATTCTATAAATCTCCAGAGATTTGGTTTAGTTTAAACATTTTAACCACTAAGATGTTCCGGAATCTTCAGTATCTCTGGATTCTATTCTATTGTTGTTCAATCTGTATATTTTATAATAAAAGATTCCAATAGCACCTAAAAGAGATTTTTGGTTGAAAAAGCTTTAAGGAACAGAGTCAAAAATTACGTTTAAAATATAAACAAATTCTTTTAAATAACTTTCCCACAAACAATGTATTTCCTTCTATCCAAAAAACTACTATAAGCACAAGACCCTTCTTTGGAAGAGCAAAACAACATATGATTCATGATATGTAAGCTGCGACTAAACCCACTTTACTCCTCATACATAAATACAGCATAAATACATACGTACGTCATGCTACCCGTGACATCCAGTCAGCCATCCATCCATCCATCAAAACGTCTTGAGGCTACAGTGAGGGTGAGGGTTGAAGCCCCGTCAAAAAGGTAAGATCAAAAGCAAAAAAATATATAATATTGTAATAGGAAAAAATAAAACCACCCGACGCAAATGGCAAGGGCGGCGGCTGATTTTATTATTAAAATATTATTAAAATCCTGGTGGGAGATTCCACCTTCCGTTTCTGCCCCCCACGTTGACAATTCGATTGTTACAATGTTATTGCATACTTTGTGGGGCAGCGACTACTTCTATTCGTACTTTTCGCTGCTTTATCGGCTTACCCCGCTTTGGGGATTTATTCGAATAAAGTTGCACTTTGATGTCGCACAAAAGCCAGCGAGAGAGATGGGAAAATTGCAGCCAAAATCTCTGCTTTTGAAATATATTTTCCTTCCTAAATGAAAAATCAAGGACATCTGTTACGAGCAAACTCTGTCTATGCGTCTCCTGTCTGTCTCGGGTCTTCTATCTCTTTCTGTGTGTGTGGGAGGAGTGTGTTTTTCCCAGTGGACGCAAGATTAACTCTTATTTCATGCAGACACACTCTCCGGGTCCAACGAAAGAAGGAAAGTGGAAGAAAATGGTAGGAAAATGGTTGGAGGGGGGACATGCCAAGGAAATTGCAGGCAAAGAGCAGAAAGTTGGCATTGTAATGCCCGGCATTCAACAATAAAATGCAAATGTCGCTTTGAATGTTTCTTATAGAAAAAAGATAATACAGGGTGAAACGTGTAGTTCGACTGGAATTCGTAGATGTGCGAAAAAAGATCCTTGAGAAGACAGTGAAAATAATTCCATGCAGAGGAAATTCTTAGAGCTATGCAATCGCAAACAGATTATTTGTTTAAAGATCTCACATTAATAAAATATTTTGTTTTTAAATACCGAATTTTTTAATTTTTCGCGAATTTTGTGTTCTAATCATTTTTTTTTTATTATTATTTGTTCTCTTATTTAATTCTAATTTTGTTTTTTATTATTTTTTAATGTTATTTTTAACTTTATTTTAAATTTTTGTAATCTAATTTTTTTTTTAACTTCTATTCGAATTACAATGCCGTCTTTCAGAATCACCCTTTGACTGAAGACAAATTTCTCGATGAAAAAAAAAAAGTGAAACCCTATACAGGCAATTTCCTGC